TAACGGTTGTTAATGAGTAGAAAAAAAAATATATATTTACGTTTCCCGTGCAAGTTAAAAGTTTGTTTTTTTTTCTCTCTCTCTCTCATTCAACGACCGGGATTGTCTTTGTTATTTACGTATAAAAAAAAATTTTAAAAATAATAATGGTAGTAAAATGTAAGACGGAAAGTTTTTGGGTGTTCCCCAAAAAAAAAATGATTTGAGAAATTAAAATGAACGTTTTTTTTGTCGTCACGGAAATAAAGTCCGATATTGTTGTTGTAGTTGTTGTTGTATACACTTGAATGTTTTATTTTAAGGGAAAATTTTTAAATGAATGAATGAATGTACGGGTTGAATTTGTTGTTTTTCTTTCTTTTTAAATCCAATTTAAAACAACAAAAATTTGCTGGCCCTGGTTTTTTTTTTTTTTTTTTTTTTTTTTTACGGTTTCACACTGTTAATATTTGCAGCTTATTCTCGCATTTTCTAAAGTATTTTTACCCGATTAAATTATTAGTTTATTTCTTTTTTTTGTAAATGACGATTCACGTCGTAAACGGTTTTTAAATATTTTTTAATTTATTATTAAGGGTTTTTTAAAAGGACGAGTGTATGCATTAAGGGTTGTTGTTCAAGTTCAATTGAAAAAATTTAATGTTAATTATTTTTTTTAATAAAAAAAAACAGAGCAAAAAAAAAAAAAAAAACAAGTTATTTTTATTATTAACAACAACATCACCGTATCATGAATATTTAATTTTTTTTTTTTAATAATAATTATCGAAATAAGTGGACCAAATTTTTTAAAAAAAGTAGAAAAATTTATTACTCGCCCCTCGGGGGATGGGTAATTTTAATTTTTTTTTAATTCGTAAAAATTTTACACGAACGTATTCAAATACCGGTTAATAAGGTTCGATCATTTCCTCAGTGGTTCAATTATTTTACTTTCATTCCATACTACATCGGTATGGACGAAATTCTTTCTTCGTCGTGATAGTATAAATAATGATGATGATGATGATGATGATGATAATAATTGCGTACGTTTGATAGAAATAATAATGAAGGGAACAACAACAACAACAACAAGTTGGATGTGGGCCTCTCTACTCAGTTCCACTTTCTTTTTTATCGATCTTGAAAATCGTTCGGGTGTTTATAAGTTTATTTTAAGTATAAATATATATTTATTATTATCAACTTGCACGAATCGAGCAAGGATTTTCATTCAATAAATTGCCATATGCTAAACCCTTGAATTTTTTTGCATTAGACGTAGTAGCCATTGGAATCTTTCTTTTCGTTTTGAGTCGCATTATTAATAATTTTTTCCTTCCTTTTTTGTAGGAAGGTCACGCTCTTGAAATTTAAATAATAATAATAATAATAATAATGATACTTACTTTCGCTAGAATATATCGTTTTCTTTTTGTTATTATTGTTGGTATGTATTACTTTTACGGTGTTTTTCTTTTTTCTTTTTTTTTTAAAAAACAATTTAAATAATGTAAAGTTTGTGGATTTTTTTTTTGAAAAGTCGTCGTCGTCGTCGTCGTCGTCGTCACCTTTGGGATTAAGATACAAATTTATGGCACTCATATTTGGCACGCTCATTGACAAGTAAAAAATAATCATTTCAGGTATTTGACGTAATTGACATTGTTGATTCCTACGCCACCGAATCGTTGTTTCTTTACAATTTTTTTTCGTATTATTTTTAAAATTGAAGCAGTGGCGACCTCAGGTTGTCGTAAATTCAATGAGTTTACGATTGATGGTAATTTTGTATTATTTACTTTGTCCAACGCGAAAAAAAAAAAAAAAAAAATTTTTTTTTTTTTAATTTAAAAATAACTTTCTCTCAGAAAAGTAAAGTATTCTTGTTGGTTGTTGAAGCGGCATCAAACACGCATCGAAATCGCACATGTAAATAATGTATTATTTAAATTTTTTTTTTTTTTTTTCTTCATTTCGAGACAGACAGACAGAAAAAAAAAAAAAATCATTGAACCGATGAATGAAATGGTGAAAATTTTAATTACGGTTAATAATAATAATTTTAAATTATTAATTAATAAATTGTAAGCGAGTTATTTGTTTTGGTTTTGTTAAATGTTTACATCGAATTTTTTTTGCATGTAAATGTAAACTTGGCGGCATTTTTAATTTCTACATTTTTCAAAACAAACATTTTTTTTTTTCCAGTAATTATTTATTGTGAGTTTGAGTTTATTGTGTATTGAAACGAAATTGTAGTAATTCATTCGATGTGAATCTTTTTTCTTTGTATTTTTTTTTTAAAACCGGAAGGAAGTCGTGTATAATTTTGGAAATATTATTTTGGGGTATCTTATAGTTAATTTATTTATTTGTTTGTTTGTTACTCCCCTTTGAAAATCCCGAAATAGAAATCGAAATCTTTGGTCGGTAAATTTTTTTTTTTTTTTTTTTCCGTTTGAAATTATTTTTTTATTTTACATTACGGGCGCAACCTGTTAATAATTTTTTTTTATTTTTTATTTTAAATAGATTTTGTTTAATAAAAACAAAAAAATTTTTTTAAAATTAAAATCTCTCAATTGTTATCTTGCTTGCTTTTTGATATTGATTGTAATTTATCTGTTGAAGGATTTAATTTACGAATTTAAATTCCCGTCATTGAATGTCTCGGGTCAATTTAAACCTTTTAAATCACACTTATTATTATTATTATTATTATTATTATTATTATTATTATTATTATTATTTATTTATTTATTTATTTATTTTTCGTAACTAGATTTTCTTGTTACTTTTTTTCAGCCAGAATAAATTTTGATTAAGATAATAAACGAAAGCGAAGGAGGAGGAGGAGGGGATTTGTTAAAATGAATGTTTACTTATAGTAAAATGATTACGAATAATTCAAAGTCTATAAAGTTGCATTAAAGCTTTAAAAAAAAAGTTTTTTTTTTTTTTTTTTTTTAAATTAAAATAAAATGAAATTTCTCAACTATATACTATTAACATTTTATTAACTTATTCCTATATTACTTTTTATATTGAACGTCGAAAATTTTAAATTTTATAATTTTCTGCATTCTGCATTGTGTTCAACAAAAAAAAAAAAAAAAAAACATTCATTGAGAAATTTTCATTAAATTATTTATTTACAATTCAAATGAGGGGGGAAAAAAATTTATAAGAAAAATATCAGCTCGAGAATGTGTAAAATTTAAAATAAAAAAATAAGCTTATTAAATGTTTTTTTTTTTTTTTTTTTTTTTTTTTTTTAACCAAACTAATTATTTAAAAGAATGAATTATACTGATATTGATGTTGACTTTTATCTTTTCTAAAAAATTAGATAAATTGATGATTTATTTGTAGGAGAAAAAAAAAAAAAAGTACGACTGACAAAAGTTTAAATTATTATTTATTATGCGTTTTCATCATCAAATCGCATTTATTGGGAATAGGAAGTAAAAACGATTTCATTATTCCTAACACACCTCAAAGTTGAGTTTTTTCTTGCGTTCATCTTCATTTTTTTTTTTTTTTTACTTTATTTTATTACATAACATTATACAAAAGTAAAAGATTTTTAGACGTAAAAATATTATCACCTCCCACTGAAAAATATTCACACACACACACACACACATGCTTTTACGTTTACGTTTATGTTTATGTTTATAAATTACATTAATTGAAACGCCTATGCATTTTATGTTTTTTTATGGAACACCTTGTGACGTCGTAGTAACTGCAAAACTTTACCATTGCGAGTAGTCGTCGTCGTCGTTGTTGAAAAGACAATGATGATGTTGCATAAAATAATTTTTTTTCATGGTTTTCTATAATAATTTAAAAAAAAAAAAGAAGAGAAAAAAAGCTCGAAATAACTACTTTATTTTATTATTATTATTATTTATTTGTCTTAGTTAGTTTGGATTTTAGCAAGGCGTCTTTTAAATTCATGCAAAGGCGGGTAACGCCCTTGGTATTTAATTCACGATTGAATTTTCACGATTTTCATCAAGCCCAAGAATATTAAAAAATGTAAAAAATCATAGAGTACGAACAATATTAAAAAATTATATATATTTTTCGGTTGAAATTTTTCCTTTTTTTTGGGGGGGGAGGGGAGGGGGGGTTTTAAAAGAATTGTAATTTTGCTGCTTTTATTTTGTTAGGTGGGCATCACTCACCGAATGTGATTTGGCAAAAAGTATTGTATTTGATTAATCGGTGGTAAATGCATTCGTGAGGTTGAGGTTTTTAATGGAATTGATCTTTGGATTTATTACTCATTTAAAAAAAAAAAAAATTACCTAAGAAATTATTAGCCGAGGCTTTTTGTATTTTGTCAAAATAAAAAAATTTTTTTTTTTTTTTTTTTAAAAGTAAAAAAAAGATGAGATGAGAGTTTGTTTACGGGGGAAAATAATAATTTTTTACTGTATGAGTGAATCACGATTATTCACCCCAATGAGTACCAAGGTGAATCAATCTTTTAAAATTTTTACCATTAAGTAATTTCATTTTTCTACCGAGAGTTACCAAATTATTTTTTTTTTTTTTTTTTTTTTTTTATTCTTTCATTGACTATAAAAAATTAGTCATTCTTAAAAACCACAAACAGGTTGAATTTTTTTTTTGTTTTTTTTTTTGTAACTGACTGCGGTTGATCATTTACCGTTTAATCTTTTTAAATGTTCATCCGAATTCATTTTTTTTAAAAATTTTTCAGTCAAGTGGGAAAAATTTAAAACAACTGATTTTAAAAATGATTGACTTATTGATTTTATAGATTAAACAATATCCGTTGTTGATGTTGTAAAGTTTTGAAAATATTAAGCTTTAAAAGTATTGTGTTAATATTTATCATAGTTTTATTTTTATAATCGTCAAATGAACTTTTAACCTTTTTTTTTTTTTTTTTTTTTATTGTTAACCGACTCTATAAAAATTTTATTGACTGGATTGACAAAAATATTTATGTATCTATTCGCATTTTAAGTAATTTATAAATGATCTTATTAAAAAGTATTAAAAGGGTGATTTTTTTTATATTTTAAATAATGGAAATTTAATTAAAAAGAAAGAATTTTTATGTGATGTGATGATAATTTTTTTTTTTTTTTTTTTTTTAATTTCAGGCCAAACAACGAGCTTCCATAAAATGGCTTCTCTCGAAAGCATACAATAATAAAGTTCCGGAAAATTTACAGGAACCATTTTACCGTGATCACGAGGTAAGTGTTTTATGCGAATGAATAATTTTTTAATTATTTATTATATAGGATTTAAAAAAAGATTTTTTGTTATGATTGATTGATTGATTGATTAAAGTTTTAAAGGGAAAACTCGTTGTTATTATTATAAATTTGTTTTTTTAAAAAAAAAAACTGAAAAATATAAATTAAAAATTTGTTTTATTCGATTTAAAAGTCAGCTGGAGGTGTTACTTACTATAGACATACACATAAACGCGGTCAACTTCTTCTACCCACTAAATAATGATTAATTGCAAAATTTATAAAAGTATTGAAACGTGTTAAATTTTCGATTCTTGTTTTTTTTTCGTAATTTTATTACTCTATGGCGCAGCTTCCTCGTAAAGTAAAAAAAAAAAAAAGTAATTTCTTACGGATTTTTTTTTTTTTTTTTAAATTTTCCTTGTGTTGCTATATTTGGTTGTTGTTGTTGTTGTTGTGTTGTAGACGAAATTTGTACGCGGTCTTACAAATTTTTTTATTATTAAAAAAATCTTTTCAAATCCCCTAACTAATGTGTGTATTGAAATTATTAATTTAATGGTTGATTTACCCAAAAGTCGAGTTTAATTAAGAATTATATTTGTAATGTGAAGATGAAAAATTAAATTAGTTTTTTTTGTCTGTATAGTAGTATTTTTAGTCGAAATAAAAAAAAAAACTATTTTTTTTTTTTTTTCGATTGCTTCTTTTGTGCGTGCGTGTTGTTAATCTGTTTTTTGTAGTTTTCCTTTTTTTTTTTTTAGGTTTCGCCTTATGAAATTTAAAATTTTTTTTGTTTTATGATGTTAAAAAGTTAATTTCATAAAGTAAACAATCAAATAAATGTATAATTTAATTTATCGTTTTTAACAGGAGCAAGAGCATTTGAAACCTCAAATAGTTCACAATTTGGCAAATGCCGAATTATACTGTCTCGCTTTTGCAAACATATACTCCGATCCAAATTATCACAATTTAAATCATTGTGGAATTCTTCAAACGCTCTCTAGAAAAGGAATCACCATACCAGATCCCGTAGATGGGCCTTTAACCGAGACTGTTCTTATACAAACCACTCCTTTAAAAATGGTAATTAAAAAAAATTTTTTTTTTTTTTGTAATTATTTAAAATGTTTTTGTATAAAAATAATTTACGTGAACGCTTAAAAGTTTGGAAAATTTTTTTAAATTACTTATTTAATTTTTTAGGGTGCTCACATGGCTGTCATCGAAGCAACAATGGTTCTTTATGCCAAAGAAGTAGTCACACCTGATAGAGTAGTTGCAGCTATTCACAGATTCACTCACGGTCAAGTAATGCCCGACTTGCCGCCAGATAGTGAATCTGGATTGTTGCTATGGGTTAACCATTCTCAAAAAGCTTTAATGCAAAGGATTCAACTGGAATACGAGAGGGAGGGCCAAGACAATGATAAAACGATGATGCCTCAGTTTCCGGAAGTGAAAGATGTGAAAGGCCTTTGCGACGGAGCAGGTTTAGCCGCATTAATATCATTTTACTGCCCCGAAGAACTTCCATGGACTGATATAAAAATCCCTCGTTTGCCAACCGTTTCCGATTCCGTTCACAATTTGTGTTTGGTTCACGAGTTTTCTCATCACAGTTTACCTCATACAGTGTGCCACATGATGCCGGAAGATGTTACTTACTTACAGGGAAACATGAAGCAAAATTTAATCGTTTTACTTGCGGATTTATTCAACGTATTGGAAATACATCCGGTGAAATGCGTACGATTTCCTGGCTCCGAAAGAAATAGAGATTGTAAGTTTTTTAAATAAAAATTTAATTTTTTACTAAAGTTTTTTAAAAAAAAAGAAAATGATTTTATGAGAACTTGGGTGAATCTTTCCGCATGAGTTTTGAAAAAAAAAAATAACAAAAATTATTATTTATTATAACTAAGCTAAGGGTTATTAAAAAAAAAAAAAAAAAAAAAAAATTAATTAAATTGGCAACGATTAGGTGAAGGTTTTTTTTCCTTTTTTTTTTTTTCTTTCAATTTTTTTTATTATTTCCGGTAAGTGCAAAAAAAATGTTTTCCTTTCACAAAATCAATAGTTTATTAACTATTTGGTTTTTTTTTTAATTGTACACATGTATAAATACTTAAACACGAGTTTATTGTCGTTTAAATCAAAACCGTATACGTCGATATAATAAAATTGAATCGATTCGACCACAATAACAATTTTATTCGACTTTTTAAAATCACTGAATTGCATTTAAATCTTGGATTGCATTTCCGGTCAAACGTAATCCATAAGGGGAGGGATGGAAGGGGAAGGGGAAAATATATATCATTAACCTTGACCAAATATTGTTTTAAAGTAGAATAAAAAAAAAAAAAAAAAAAAAAAAACTTGAGATTACACTATATATGTATGAATACACTATCGAATGAGGTTAAAAAATGTGAGAGAAAAGTGGAAAGTATTCAATTTCCATAGTGCTTAATTTTTTTGTTGTTGTTGAATAATACTGTTGTTTATGCAAACAATTCGTATTATTTTAAAAAAAAAAAAGGTCAGTTTATTAAAAAAAAAATTTTTTTTAAAACAAGCGGGTGGTATTACTTTTTATTATTAAAAGATTTACCCAATTATTCGTCGCGAATTTATTTTTTAATTGTATAATAAATAAATTTGGTATTGAGTGACGAATGTGTGTAAACAAATAAACACAAACAATGTGTTTTGATATGTTATGTGTATTATGGGGTAGTTATCATTGCTCTAGATAATAGGTGAATATTCACACTTTTTTATTATTATTATTATTTGGAAATGTATTGAAAACCTTCACAATATTTTATTTATTATTATTATTATTTTTTTAAATTATTTTCATGCTCTATGCGTTTGTTTATTTGCTTTTGTTTATTCCACGTTAAAAAGTAAATGTTTTTGTATACTATTAAAAAAAAAATAAATAAAAAAGGAAGGAAGAGAGAGGAAAAAAATAAAAAAATAATTTGAGTATGATATCAAGAGGGGAAAATTAATAATAATAATAATAATAATATATAAATGGTATATATATCTTTAGTCGGTCCTGCGCGCAATAGTCAAGGCGTAGTTCACAAACGAAGCCTTCCGCAGACAGTAACAACAATTCCAGATCTTCGGAGTAATTTGGCCACAAACTCAAGCTTTACAGGTAGGGGCTTGGCTCCCCCCCGATGTAGTTGTAAGCCTGTATATAAAATTTTGTTGGAGCTTTTGTTTGCATCATATGTTGTTTTGCACACATGCATTTGTCGAAAAAGAAACTCTGATGACGATTGTCCTTTTTATTTATCTTTCCTCTACTTCTTGTATTTATATATATAAAAGGAATTTGCTTGATCGATAATATATATGATTTTAAAAAAAATGTTTTGTGCTGAAATTTTTTGTCGAGGTCAATTTAAGAAGAAAACGTAAAAAAAGAAAAAAGTTTTATCGTTATTTAAAAATTTTTTTTTTTTCTTTTGGAGGGGGAGGGTGGAAAAACTACGAAAGGAAAAAATTCTATTTAAGTATTGAAATTTATACATCGAAAGTATGAATTTTTTACTCATGTAAAGGAAAGAGAAAAAAAATAAAAAAATTTGAAATAAAATTTACCCTTAAAATCGATCTTTTTGAGTTTTTTTCTTTTGCTTCATTTTTCTCTTTTTTTTTATTTTATTTTATTTTATTTTAAAAGAAGCACGCAAACATCATTAAAATATTTATAATATAAAAAAAATAAATAAATCAGACATTTTGTGGTTGTAACCTATGTTCTCATCAGAGTTTTTTAATATTTTTTATTTTGAAAAAAAAATTTAATTTTTAGTGAAAGATTTTACGCTTTTGTTTACAAACCGTACAAAAAAAAAATTATTTATTTATTTATTTTTATTTAATCACTAATTAAACGATCGTCATTAAATTAATGTTGGTTAATAATAATTTTTTGGTGAATTTAAAAAAAAAAAAAAAAAAAAAATGGCTTCTTTTATTTGTTATTTATTTTAATTCGTTTATAAGTTTTTTGAAATAGTTTTGTCGTAATTTTATTTTACTTTTGTGTTTTTTTTTCTTTTTGCTTTTTTTTTTTTTTTGATAAATTTTATATTAGAATTTGGCTGTGAATTTTTCATTTTTATTTCCGAATTATTTGTTTTGTTTTTGTTTCTTATATGAAAAAAATATATTTAATTTTGTGTTTTGATAATAACACTCTGTTGGTGTAACCTTAAAAGTATTTTTACTGCTTTTTATGTATTTAAATTTTTTGGCAAATTTTGAGCTTTAAAAAAAAATTCTGATGTGTACTCTTCTTCAGTATTAAGGATCGCAGAACAATAAACTGGTAAAGAAAAAAAAAAAAAAAAAATCATTTTTCTTAGCTTTGCTTGTAATTTCTTCCATTGATCGACAATTTTTTTTTATTTTTATTTTTATCGAGTTAATTATTATTGTATTATATGTATTGTGTGCATGGTACTATCACATTTAATCACAAAACGCATGTTATTTTGTGTTTATTAATTTTTTCCTATAAAATTCATAACTATTATTATTATTTTACATTTATTTTGCAATTTTAATTGTATTTTTTTTATTCACTTATTATTATTATTATTTTTTGTTTTTTTTTTAGTGTCAAGACCATTGTCTACCGTAAGTTCGGGCCTTAGAAAATCATATTCCGTACAAACGGATTCAAATTTTAGGGGCACACCTGATTCTTTAGATAGGACGTTAGATGATAGGTATTTGAGTTAAAATAATACATTGAAAATTTTATAATAACGCGATGAAATATTTAATCACGTGATTTTTTTTTTTTAAATAGAAAAAGTGAAGAATCTTTTGTTGTTCATCGTGGTCGTGGTGTCCCTACGCTTAGCTCCGTGACTACCGATGATCCCATTGTGCCACCTCGTCTCCGAAACAAAGATAGAAATAATTACGATTATAAATTAGAGGAATCTAGTAAAGCGGCTGGAAAACCAAGTAATTGGGAAGACCAAAAAAAGAGTACGTTTGCTGGAAGGAGATCAAGGCGTAATTCGTTGTCCGAGGAATCGCAATTAACTGTTGAAAATTTTGGTGGTTCCCAAGAAAATTTACATTTTTTGGGGAGGAATCCGGATAAAGAGCCGGCCATACACGTCAGTGGTCGTTTAGATAGTTCTAACGCTCCCCTTTCTCCTACTCATACCGTGCCTATTAGGACTTCGGCTCAGGAAGCTCGAAGTTCGGGTGTAGAGCTTATTTTTGCAGAAAACGAAGCTGCGAATTCTGTAAGAAAACATTTCAAAACTTTTTGATTTAATTTTTATTAATTATACAATAATTATATGTAAAAATTGGTTACAGCAACCGCTACAACGAAAGGATATTCGTAAAAGTCAATCCCCTGCGCCTATTTCCCACACACCAAATGTTCCAGTTAGGTCTAGTCAACAGGATTGTAGAAGTAATGCCATTGATAGAATATTTGCCGATAACGGTTACGGAATAGATAAAAACGAAGAAGAAAAGTCTGTTAAAGAAGAAAATTTAGTTTCTCTCAAAAATTTGATACATTCCAAGCAGGTACATATAATTCATCAAGAAAAAAAAAAAAGAAAAAGAAAAAAAATTTTTACTCATTAAAAAAAAATAATTTTTTAACCCCCTAGCCTGCCAACGAAGTAGTGCATAAAGATTACGTTGATGGAGATTTACATCAAATAACAGTTAATTATTCTGAAAGAAGTTCTCAAATTGAAATGAATTACGCGGAAGATGATGGCGGCGGCGGTGGTGGTGGTGGTGGTGGGGAGCACATAAACTCTCATAAATATACGAGTGTGAGTAAAAATGTAAACGTACAACCGAATGGAAATATAAAAAAAACTACATTTGCAACTTTACCAAATACGACAACGTGGCAGCAACAGCAAAAGACGATTGATAGTATTAATAACATCCACGAAGCTCCAAGTATTCCTGGTAATTTTTTTGTTTTATTCGTTTATTTATTTTAAACCTTAATTTTAAAACCTTAATTTAAATAAAAATTTTCCATTGAATTTAGATGATACGTCTAGCTTTCAACTTCGTAACATTCGATTAAAATTGGAAGAAAAGAGAAGAGTTATAGAAAATGAAAAAAGAAAAATGGAATTATTAATGAATAAACAACGTCAAAAAGTAGGAAAAGCAGCTTTTTTGCAGGCTATATCGAAGGTAGGGTTAAAATGTATAAATGAGTGCATGCATTTTATGTATATTTCTATTGTTTGTTTTTTTGCCTACAGTAATCTATATATATATATTAAAAATTTAATTTGAGTAAATTTTTTGTATTTATTTTCTGTTGTAAAAAAAAAAAAAAAAAAAAATTCTTTTATTTTCACTTAGATTTCATTTGCAATTTTTTAAGTGCTGGGTGCATGCGGTTTAATTTGTTGCAGGATAAATATAAAACAACCGATGCAAAAATTCAAAATGACGGTAATTCAACAAGTCCATCTGTAGATTCGATTTCACCAAAAAATGCACAACAAAAACCGTTGTCACTTCAGGTAATTTTTTTTTTTAGTAGAATTTATGAATTCATTTAGTAACCACTTGTTTTTTTTTTTTTTTAGTTTTACTTAAAATTGATGAATGAATCTTTTATTTTTTGTAGATTATTTTAAGTTATAGATGTAGATAGTTTTTTTTGTAAATAACAAAAATTCTTAAATTTCAAAATTAAAATTAAATGTAAATAAGTTTTTTTTTTTTCTCTAAAGGATATACAGATTTTATTGGAGAATAAGTTTAAAAGCAAAATAAATTACGTCATTGTTCACTATTTAATCATTGAAATTATTTTTAGGATATCAAAGATGTAATATCTATTGAAAAAAAATGGTTGGACAATTCAACGCCTTTCTTAGAAGAATTAAAAACTCCGGATTATGAAAACTTTGATCTTGATAAATATCAATATTCTATAGCTAAAATGAACTCGAGCCTTAAAGAACTAGATGCTGATATGCAGAGGATATCCAATCAACAAAGCAAACTACAAGGTAATTACATACTTTCTACGAGTCTATTTGAATTGATAACTTAATTTTTTACGATTGCACTCAAAAGATTTTTTTATAGGATACGGCTCTGAAAGTAACTATACTCAGCAGCATATACATAATTACTCGGATCAGCCGCAGTTAAACCAAACTCGACCGATGAATAGTTATCACAATCAGAGTAACATGCAGCAACAAAATTATAACATCTATTCTAATTCGAGTTCGCAAAACAGGCCAATCAGTTTGTCACAACTCACCCAACCCAATCCTTCTCATAATCAGGGTCAATTTTTCCTTCACGATCAACCGCAACAACCGATGCAAAGAAGAACTTGGTCTCAACACCATGCTGAAAAAGTCGCTTTGAATCAACAAATGGAAAAGAACGATAGGAACGTGCCACAGCCATTCACTTTACACGAAACAAGACTTCAAAATGGCGACAGTCATCCGATCCCTTCTCCGCGTTCTTCCAACATGTCACCGCAAAGTTTCAATAAACCGAACCTTCCTCCGAAACCAATCGTACCAGCACGTCAATTACCTCCTTCTAGTTCATATCCGGAGCCATTGTCTTCTCCGTCGGCAGACGATATGGAACCACAGAGTATTTGTTTTATAGGAGAAGATCCCAATAGCGATGTCAATAATATATCTTTGGGAATGTCTCACATTAATATAACATCAGGAAGTAAAACATATCGTATTCCGTCGCCTACGAGACCCTCAATTATAAAAAGTTCTTTTATGCAAAAATCCATGCAACAAAATTCCGAAACACCAAACACGATAAATGAAAACCAATCCGTAACCAAAGGGTTTTACATACCTTTTGACGATGAAGCTCCACCTAAGCGTCCAAAGCCGCCACTTCGGGGTAAACGATCACCTAAAAAGGTAAAAAGATTTTTTTACTGTTTAAAACCTTAAAACGAAAAATACTCATCTATTGACTTGCATTAAAAAAAAAAAAAATTTTTTTTGAATTACAGGATAGGTTTGCTACGCAAACAATCGAACATCCTTTTGATGAAAGGCCCAAAGAAAATGTTGCACCTCTTAATAGATCGGAAAGTACTTCAAGAACTCCCGTCACAAATTTTAGAGATACTGTTTCCGGTTCTCAAATAAATTATTCTCCGGATCACGCTTCTAGTCAATCTATCGATCGTCTAGACACTTCTCCCATCATAAAAAAATCTGATCCCATGTCTCGTTTGGAAACTAAGCCTTTGAGAGAAAAAGAACCCACTTCGCCAAGTGTTGGTCTCGTTATAGGCACAGAACCTGATCCGGTATTGATTTCAGACAAACGTAAAAAAATAATTTACATCATTAATTGTAAATTTCGATAAATAATTTTTTTTTTTTTTTTTTGTATGATTTCGCAGAACCTAATAGATGAAATGGAAAGAAAAAAAGAAAAAATATTAATGTTGTCTTTGCAAAGACGGCAACAACAAGAGGAAATGAAAGCTAGGAAAGAAATGGAAGCAGCTCGGCGAAGGGAAATAGAAAAAATGAAAGAAGAAGATAAGGCTAGGAAAAAAGAAGAAGAAAAAGCTAGGAGAGCTGCCATATTAGAACAATATAAATTAAAAAAGGCCATAGAAGAAGCAGAGAGAGAGGTTGGTTGTCACGCTTAAAACAGGAGACATGTGCAGGAGACATTAAAAAACGTTTAATTTTTTTTTTTTTTCCAGGGTAAAGTTATAGATAAATCAGATTTAATGAAATTAAATACTCCGAAATTACGAAGTAAAACTTCAACGACTCCAAGACCTCGTCCTAAAACAATCCACGTCGAAAGCAGTGGATTGGAAGATGGTATGCTCACGCCAGCTCGAGGGAAAAGAGGATCTTCTACCAATCTTGCAGGTATTTAAATAAATAAATTTAAAATTTGTTCATTTTCATTTAATTAGTTATTATTTAACCACTAAATGAACGTGATAACAATGAAAAGCAACAAACGAAAACTTTCTTCTTATTTTATTGTTTTTCTCTTTCAAAGGACATGATACATAATAATATTATTATTAAGTGTTGTCGACTCTTTTACTTTTTACCTATTCGATGTTTTTATTTGTTTAACCCTTAATAATAATAATAATCATTTAGTGCCCTTTTTTTTTTTTCTTATGTAAACACTCGAACTTGATTTAACATTTTTTGTTTACCCATATGCACGTAATAAATAAATCATCATCTGGAAAAGGTAGGAAGAATACAAAACGAGTTAAATTAATAATAATAATTATTCTGTTGTTATTATTATTATTATGTTTTATAACCTTCCCACAGTAATTTTTTTTTATAAGTGTTTAAAATAAATGGTAGTGTGAAAAAGGTTTTTTTTTTTTTTTTTTTTGGTAATTGTTTATGTTAAATGTGTAGACCATAATCGTGAAAACAACAGCGTATTTTCGAGACCTTTGAGACGAGATCAATATCGAGGATCACAGGATAGCCTTGCCAGCAGTGCCGGAGGAAGGCGTGGATACAGAGGTAAATTTGTATTTCTTCGCATGATTTGTTGTAGTTTTAAATTTTTTTTTTAGATTTTTAACGAATCTTTAACTTGATATTTTTACGTATTATTTAACAGAATAACGTTTCGATTTGCTCAACATAATTTACACTTTTTTTCTTTTTTTGTTTAAGATTCACCCAGCGATGATGGTAGAGGAAGTTCACCTTCTAGAATGAGTTCTACTAATTTAGGACGACGAGGTTCATATAAAACTTCACGAGGTGAGTTATTTATTTTTTGTTTCGAAGGTTTTCCAAAAATAATTTTACAGAGTTTTAGTGGGCTATGTTGGTAGGTTGGTTGAAAAGAAAAGAAAAAAAGAAAACCAGTGCCAAATTTTTTATTATTATTTTTACTCTTAATATCAGTTAACTGTGATTTTACATCTTTTGGTTTTAAATTGTTTGTTCATCAATTGAATAATTTCTATTGTTAAAAAAATAAGTAAGAATCAAACGAAAAAACTCAAATTATTTGTTTGGAATAAATGGTGATTTCAGATACTTCAGAACCTCCGTCCCAGGTTAGAGGAAGGTCGAAATACTCGACTTACCAGTCGAACTTTAGAGGGAGAAAATCAAATTCGCTCATGAATCTTTGTGGTAAGAAATCGAGATTTGTGGTAACAAACACTCGATTTTAACCCCCTTTAAATTCGAGTTCTTTTAAATAACGATTCATTCAGTTGTTGGTTTATTGGGATTTTTTTTTTTTTCTAGCTTTCATATATATATATATTCTTGTCACAAGAAATTTAAGAAAGAAAAAGAATTTTTTCCTCCTCTCCCTTCCCATTTTCTTGGAAAAAGAAAAGAAATAATAATAATAATAAATTTGTTCTCCCTTAAGGATTTCTTAAATTTCTTAAAAGTAATTAGTTATTAATTGAGCACAAACACCAAGTAGGTAAAAAAAAAAAGAAATTTCTACCTCTGGTATTTGTAACTCCCTTAATTTTTTTTTTTTTTTCCATGCTAAATTTCATTTACCAGCATGGTCATGGTAAACTTTTTAATCCTTTTTTTTTTTTTTTTTAATTGGTGTTGGAAAAATAAAATGAAAATCTTTTTTAATTGGAAAAAGCTTTTGATGTTTCGGTCGTCACGTGACAGGGGTTGTTTTACCCATATATATATATATATATACAAAATATTTTAATATTCTTATGCCTAACAAACAATATATTTCCTAACCGGTTTTAATTTATATAAAAAAAAAAAAAAAGAATAATGGAAATGGGCTGGTGGGAACTTGTTACATAAAAAAATAACATAACCATATTAATCTTCTGTGAGGGTTTGATTAATGTCTCTCTCTCTCTCTCTCTCTCTCTCTTTATCATTTTCAATAAAATAATTTTCGTTTTTGTTAATCAATTTGTGATGATTATATAATAAATCGGCCAACTTTCCATTTATATACATTGTAGGAAGGGGAGGGGGGGAGTTTTAAGCCTTTTTTTTTTAAACGCGAGTTCGTGTAATTACGGAATTATGATGTTTTTTTGTACATTTTCCCTTTTTCAATTTTTATTATTATCATCATTATTATTATTATTATTATTATTATTATTATTATTATTATTATTTGTGATCAAGTATTCTAGGGCATGCTTATATAGTATGGGAATGACAAATCATAGAATATTTTGTTGTATTTTGTAGTCATATTCGAAAAAAAAAAAAAAAAAAAAAAAATAGATTTTTAAGTCGTTCATGTCAAAGGTATTATTTAGCGACCATCCATCGTCATTTTAGTCATTTGAAAAGTTTGTTTAAAAAAAAAAAAATTAAACATTTAGTAAAAAAAGTGAAAAAGGAAAAAATGTTGGCACTTATTATTGCAAATATAAAATAATTAATTATTCACATGTAAATATTCATAGCCTATTAATTATTGTTTGTTTGCCCACAAACTAATTAATAAATTAACTTTTCTTTTTTTCTCACAAGTAAAAAAAAAAAGAAATAAAATGACTCGATAATAATAATTGTTTAAATAAAGGAAGGAAAAAAAAAAAAAAAAAATTGTCTTGTAAAATGCTCTTAATATTAAAAAAAAAAAAAATAAAAAATTTTTCTGGTGGAAGAACACAGTAGTTCTAGTGCTTAGTGCACCTGTTACAGGGTCGAGTAGTGACCAAGATAGCATGATCTACCGATATGGAGACACAGATTCTGGATTGGGACGTGCAACGCCTCCCCGACGAGCTCCTTCGCCAGGGATCTCCTGTGGTAGGCACCTTACCTCACCTTCAGGTTCGCTAAAATTTCTATCTCATTCTAATTAATTAATTAAATTTTTTTTTGCACTTTTTGCAAAGGTTTATTTTCTTTAATTACATTAAAAAATTTTATTTTTAAAAATGGGTTCGCGTGTAAAATTGACGAGGAAAATAAAGCGCATACCTTACAATACCTTGTAAAAAAAAAAAAAAAAAATTAAAATTTTTAATTAAAATTAAGCGAGCTTTTAATTTAAATGGCGCCTTTTTTTTTTGTATATTTTGTAATTAAAAAATAAATTATAATTTTTATGCACAAAACTAATGTGACACACATACATTAAAAATTGAATATTTACTCGTTAATAAATTTACTTTTTTTAAAAAATTAAAATTTAAAATAAAGGGGAAAAAAAATTTTACAGGTCCCGGATCTTTGCCACCGGGTTTAATTAGCAAAAGAAGAATATTCGACGATGGATCGAGCGATATTAGTTCGAATGCTAGTTCTATGATGGAATACACCGGGCCTAGACTATATAAACAACCCGCGACCAAATCAAACAGGGGAATAATGTTGAACGCCGTCGAATATTGCGTTTTCCCCGGAATCGTTAACAAAGAAGCCAAAAAGAAAGTTCTAGATGAAGTATCACGTTCCGAGAGTAAATATTTTCTCATTTTGTTTCGGGATGCCGGATGTCAATTTCGAGCTTTGTATTCGTATTGTCCAGACACGGAAGAAGTTCTCAAATTATACGGTACCGGACCCAAACAAGTCAGTGATAAAATGTTCGATAAATTTTTTAAGTGAGTGTCCCTCCGTTTGAGCCTTTTCTCGTTCGAGCATTTTTAAAAGATTTTCATATCTGGCAAATTATTATTATTATTATTATTATTTTACGATTTCAGGTATAACTCTGGAGGAAAATGCTTTTCTCAAGTTCATACGAAACATTTAACAGTAACAATTGACGCATTTACAATACACAATTCGCTGTGGCAAGGAAAAAAAGTGAATTTACCGAGTAAAAAAGATATGGCATTAGTCATTTAGTTTATAAAATAGGTTCTTTATTATTTTACTAATTACTTATTATTATTATTATTACTAATTATTGTAATTTTTAATTATTATTATTATTATTATTATTATCATTCATAACATCGCGACAATTCGTCTTAGGGTTTGAAGGATGCTTTTGGCAACATTTATCATTTTCAGGTTTATACCTGCCGGAATAAATGACTGACTGAATAAAGGGTGACGCTGCATGCTCGAACAGGTTTTTTCACGTTTTGTTACAACCCGTGACGTCACAATAATTCTCTTGTAAGTTTTCCCGAGACGATCACCTTATCCGACGGGACCGAGTTATTTTCTCAACCGGATTACGATTACACATCTGTCGAGTAGCCAGAATCAAGTCATTGTTTTTGCCCCCCCCTCCCTCCCTCCCTCCGCTTTCAGAAGGTTTCTTTTAAATATTATCCCATGGTGTTTGTTCAGGTAATGAGTCTCCACGTATTTGTCCGAGATTTTTCTTGTTTGCTGGCTGATACAGTTTTGTTAGTGTTGATTATTGGACCCCCAGTCGTGATCTGGCTTTGACGGTGGTTGTACCATTCTTTGGATAGTCCAACCATTCCATATCCTCGACAGATAATCCAATTGATATACATATTTACAAATTTTTTTGTGCCTTTTTAAATATTCAACCAGCTTTTCCAATATCGAACAACCGGAAATTAAATGATCAATTTTTTCCGACTGCGATTCGGCAGATTCTTGTCGCTTTGTTTTGCCTTCTCGTAGTTGAAAATTTACCAAAGCTTGGTCCTGAGCAGCAGCGAAAAGGAACCGTTTCCGTTTCCGTTTAAATTTTCCAAGTTGCCGTTTAGACAATTGTCTCTCGTGTAATATCTGAAGCGTTTACTCTCTTCAAATATTGTTCATTTATTATTATTATCATTTTATTTTAACACGATTTTAATGTTTTTTTTTTTTTTTTTTGTTTTTTAACTTCATACACGTTTTTGCGTGTTAAATAATTTTAAATAGAAAAAAAAAAAGAAAAAGAAAAGCTTATAATGACTAAAAGACAAAGCAAAAAAAAAATAAATAAATAAATAAATTATACGCATAACCACATAAAATAAATAATTCGCATAATATCGAAAAAAAAAAAAAAAAAGGCATTAATTAATTATTAACATTTTTATTTTCGTAATTATTATTATTATTATTATCATCATTATTATTCAAATAATAATAATAATAATAAATAATGGTTAATAATAATAATGAGTAATGAGTAATGAATAATTATTATAATAATAGTTTATTAATAAGAAAAATTTATATTTTATATTTATTATTATTATTATTATTTGTTTTTTTTTTTTTTTATTTGATTGATTGATTGATTGATTGATTGATGTGCGATCGATTTGTAAATATACATAAATATAATTTAATTTAGGAGAAAAGTTTTAAAAAAAAATAAAAAATCGAGGCAACAAAATGTGTGTAAAAAAAAAAAAAATAATTTTCATTTTTTATTTTTTTTATTTTTATTTTCGTTTTCTAACCCCTTTTGTTTTTTTTTTTTTTTTTTTCATGCTTTTTATTTATAATTTTTTTTTATAATAATATTAAAATACAAACAAAGAAATAAATAAATAAACAAACAAACAAACAAAAAAAAACGAGTTAATCAATATGTAGTAGAATGTTTTTCAATTAATTTATATTTTTACTTTATTTTTTTTATTAAACGCAAATGAATGAATGATTAATAACAATAATAAATAAATCAATTAATTAATTAATTAATTAAAATAATTTTTGATTAATAATAATAAATAAATAAATAAAAATAAATTATTAATAATATAATTTTTTTTTTTTCTTTTTCTTTTCTTTTTTTCTTTTAATTTTTTTTTTTTAAATTGATTTTTTTCAAAAATAAATAAATAAAATTGTTCGATATAAATAAATAAATACTTCTTATGTAAAAAATAAATATATATATATATATAAAATTGTTGGTTGTGAAGGGGGTCACGTAAAAAAAATAAATAAAAATAAATAAATAAATAAAAATAAAAATAAAAATGGCGAAAGCTAAAAAGAAACGATAAATAAATCGCAACTAACTAACGTTTATCTAACTAATGTGTACTAAAACCAAAAAGAAAAGTGCTGGATTTCAATTATTATTATTATTTATTATTATTATTATTTATTATTATTATTATTATCATCATCGTGAGAAATGATTATTGATTATTTTTACCGTACGTTTAATAAAATAATTTTTTTAATACGTATATATAATGGCGTTGCGTTTGTTTGTTCGCTTAAATTATTTATTAATAAATAATAATAATAATAATAATAATAATGAAAAAGCACAAACAATCTTTTATTTGTTTTTTTTTTTTTAAATAAAATTTTTGGGTATTGTTTAAACAAAAATAAATAAATAAATAAAATTGTTTTCGATTTAATTGTTAAAAAAATATTTATATATATATATATTTAAAATAATTTTTTTTTTTCAAAGGCAATGCCATCGAATTTATTTATAATAATAATAATAATAATATTAAAATATATTTATATAAATAAATAAATAAAAGCGTATATATATATTATATCGATGTTTTTAATAATAATATTGCTTGGCATTGAATCGATTTATGCAAAAATAAATAAATAAATAAATTCTTGTAAAATTTTTTTTTTTTATTAAAATAATTATTATTATTATTATTTTCGTTTTGAATAAAAAAATTTTTTTTTTATTATAAATAATAAACGGAAATTATTTCAAACAATAATTAAATAAATAAATAAATGATGATAATAATATTTTTTACGTGAGGTAATTAATATATTTTCTTACTGAACAATTAATTAATTAATAAATTAAATTTTATAATTATATTGATAATGATAATAATAATGGTAACAATGATTTGATTTTATTATTATTATTATTATTATTATTATTATTATTATTATTCTCTTCTAGCGACGGTGCTAATTTTAATTAATTTTTTTTTTTTTTTGTATCGATGTAAAAAATAATATTGGAAAAACCAGCCTTTTGTGAAATTAAATTGAAAGCTGTGTGCTTGATATAGTGTTAATATAATTGATTATTTAATATAATTTGGTTTTTTTTTTTTTTTTTTAGTTTAGTCGCCTTTGATTTGTGTGGGTGTGCGTGGGTGTGCACGTGCGATGGAAATTGGGCGTTGGAAAAGGATAAATGGGTGGAAACGTAAAAAGAAACGGTTTGATTGATTTGATAACAGGTATTTGTAAAACTTTAATTTTATTTTTTATTTTTTTTCCAGCTCTCGTATAAAAAATTTTTAATTATTTATTTATTTATTTTTATTATTTATTTTGAATTCGATTTCACCCCCCCCCCCCCCCCGACGGTATCACAATAATAATGATTATGATTAATGAGTGACGTCACAGATCTCGAGTAGTCGAGTATTCGTTATGAAAAAAATTTCATTGTATTTTATGTTTGTTATTTACAATTGTAAACTTCCATTCGATTCGATTTTAATTTTTTTTCTAATTTAGGTCATTCGCCATTAATTTTTCTTTCGACTTTTCTGCGAAGCTTTGTCCGAACTGCTGTCTTCGTTTAAAAGTTGTTCTTCTACTTCGGTACGACATTTATTGTATTTGCAATATTCCATACTAAATTCCCCTTTTCCCTGAGTTATTGATCTGAGATGTGATGAATACCCAAACATTTCGTATAGGGGAACCTGAAAATTTTAATTTTTTTTTTTTCTGATAACCTTCGACAGGATTAACAGTAAAGACAATTAATAACAATAATAATAATAATAACCTCAGCTTGCGTGACGAAATAATCCTCCGAAAATTCCGAACATAAAACGATGCCGCATCTTTTTATCAAATCTATCGTAACGATTTCGTGGAATTCACTCGGTACCGAAACTTCAACCAACATGATGGGTTCGAGCAAATGCCAAATCCCTTCGTCGAATGCTGGAAAAACAAACAAGAACAAATGAGGATTAAAAAAAAAATTTAGTTTTTTTTTAAAAGTAAAAAACATTTTAGGCACCGTTTCTCATGGCTCCTTCCGTCGCTAAATGAAATGACCAATCCGAAGAATCGACGATATGATGTGCACCGTCTTGAAGTCTAAAACGAAGACCGGATAATTTGTATCCCTTTGGCGAACCTTAAAAAAGGTAAGAAATTATTATTATTATTATTATTTTTTTTTACAAAATTCGAAATTGAAAGACGAAAAAACCAAATGGAAACCTTTTTCGCACATTTCCAAATATGCTTTTTTTATAGCCGGAATATAATTCCGGGGTAAATTCGACCCCACAATTTCGTCGACGAATTCTAACGCCGTGTTTTCCTCCGTCGGCTCCAAAACTCCGATCACTCTACCGTATTGACCCTGTCCTCCAGATTGTTTTTTGTGGAAGTAGTCAAAATTATAAGGAGACGTTAAAGTTTGACGAAAAGCAACTCTGGGTTTACCCAAAATTACTTTACAGTTATACTCTCGTTCCATTCTCTGCGAATTTTAATGAATCCAATTATAATTTTTAATTAGATAAGTAATTTTTACTTTGTATAAAAGGAATTTACTTGACAATAAATATCTAAATGCAATTCTCCCATTCCGGAAACTAAAGTTTCTTTACTGTCAGGATCGTAAAACATTTTAAAAGTAGGATCTTCTTTCACGAATCGAGCAATTGCTTTACTAAATACTTCTCTGTTTGTTAAAGAAGCAGGTTTGATCGACATTGATATAACCGGATCGGGTACGAAAATAGATTCCATAGAAATATTTAATTTAGAGTCTTTAACAAACGAATCACCGCTGGAACAATCCACTCCGAAAATGGCGACTATATCACCCGCATAGGCTTCCGTTACTTCTTCCATTTGATTAGAATGCATACGAACTAATCGTCCTATCCGCGTCTAAATCGCGAATATGAAAAAAAAAATCGGGTAATAATACATGGAAATATTAGTTTGAAAAATTTGAAGTATTTGTATTATTCACCTTTTTTCCAGTTCTAACATTGGTTAAAGAATCACCCTTTTTAAACATTCCTTGGTAACATCTTATATAAGTTAACTGACCATATTTACTTAATTCTAATTTAAAAGCTAATCCAATAAATGAATGTTTATCACTCCTTTCCGGATTTAATATAATTTTTTCCTTTTCTTTTCCCCTAGGAAAATAAATATAAATTTTTTAATATTAAGGGAATTTTAAAAATAATTTAAAAATATTTTTGAACAGGTAAAAATTTCTCTAACTCTGCTTCATCTTTAAATGCTTTATTTTCAACTTCTCCAGGATTTGGCAAATATTGAATGACTCCATCCAAAAGTGGTTGGACTCCTTTATTTTTTAAAGCTGTTCCTACATAAACTGGAGTAAACATTCTACTTATGCATGCTCTTCTTATAGCTTGTTTGATGTCATTTTCTGAAATTGGTTTTTCCTGAAGGTAAGCATCACCCAAAATTTCATCACCATTTGAAACACATTCTACTAATTCCGACCTTCTATCCTCCGCTTCGGCTAACATTTCTTTAGGGATTTCAATTTCTTCAACATTTTCCCTTAAAACAAATCAAAATAAATTAATTTATTCTTGATTTAAATTATATATTATAAGATTAACTAACCCACAAGCTCCTTTAAATAACATTGCTTTCCTATCGATTAAATCAATGATTCCTATATCATTTTGATGTGTAAACGGTATTTGTACTAAAGCTGCATTATGCTTGAGTTTACTTCTAATATTTTCTAATACTTTTATATAATTTGATCCTTGACGATCTAATTTGTTAATGAATGCCAAACAAGGAACATTATATCTAGCCATTTGTTTATTTACAGTTAATGTTTGACACTGAACCCCACCAACTGCACATAATACAAGTATAGCACCATCTAAAACTCTTAAAGCTCTTTCGACTTCAACAGTAAAATCAACATGACCTTAAATAAATTAAATATATATGAATTAGTTTTATTTTTTTTTAATTTATGACAATTACATTATTAAATCCAAAAAAAGTATTCACCAGGAGTATCAATTATATTAATGTTATGATTTTTCCAAAGTGTGTAAGTTGCAGCTGACTGTATCGTAATACCTCTTTGCCTCTCTAATTCCATAGAATCCATTACTGCTCCTACATTATCTTTACCCCTAACCTATAATTAAAATTTTTTTATAGACACCTAATGTATGTACATCATAATTTATCTTGAAAGCTTTAAATAATTAATTTCAATCTTAATCATTTAAATTTAATAGATGTGAAAAAATAACCTCGTGCATTTTTTCAATTCTACCGGTATAATATAATATTCTTTCAGTAAGGGTAGTTTTACCAGAATCTATGTGAGCGGATATACCTATGTTTCGTATATGCTCAATATCTTTATGCTGTGCATATTTTAAATGAGCTTCATTACCAACGGTTTCTAAAAGTCTCTGTAAAGTATTGAAATGAATATTGTACAGGATTAGTTACATCCTTTAAAATATTTTGAATTACTGACATTGAAAAAAAAACATACGTATAATTTATGCTTTTTAACTTTTTGGCGTTTAATTAATTGCACGGCTTGATAATTACAAAAGCGAATCATGATCCTGAAATATTTAAATTTCTAAATCAATAAAATTTTATTTAACCTAGGTTAAAAGCACCTAATTTTTTTATTTATGTTCATCGGGCCCAGAATTTTCGATATATCGAAATCGAAATTTTTAATTTATTTGCAGTCTTAGTTGACTTAAACAGTCTTAAGCTTAAAAGAACGGAGTGCTTTTATTTAAGAGAAAACTTGTAGTTTTTAGTGGCGGCAATTTGGAATGTCTGCCTTTTTAAAATTTATATTTAATGGAGTTTTTATATATTTTTTTAAATAATGATAAAAGAAATTTTAATCATAATAATATATTTTTTTACATTTTTAACAAACATATATTTTTTATTATTATAAAATACGATTTAGTAAGTCACAATGGTATCATTTAAATTAAATAGTAATTCGCAGGCGAAAACCCAAGAAATGAATTTAGATAATGTAATTGATATAGAAAAAAGAGTTTTAACTAGTCAGGATTATGTATCCCTCAGTTCACAAGAAAAACTTAAACTTTCTTCCTGGGGTCTCCCCTTAAAAGTATTGGATTTTTATAAAAGCAAAGGAATCATCAATATGTTTCCTTGGCAGGTCTGCTATAATTTAAAATTTTTAATTTTTGAATGTTGCTAAATTTAATCATTTTTATTCTTGTTTCTAATAATTTTACAGCTTGAATGTTTATCTTTGGGAAGGGTACTCGAAGGTGGTAATTTGGTGTATTCTGCTCCAACTTCAGCTGGAAAAACATTGGTGGCTGAAATATTAATTTCAAAGTCGATATTTGAAGTTCAAAAGAAAGCTTTAATGATTTTGCCATTTGTGTCAGTTGTTCGAGAAAAAATGTTTTATTTTCAAGTAAATAATATTTTATTTATTAATTTAACTAAGTTAATTTTGTATTGAATTGTAACATTCTATTTTTTTAGAGTATGTTTGGCTCAAGTGGAATTCATGTTGAGGGGTACATGGGTGGTCATTCACCATCTATTTCTTTCAAACAAGTTCATTTAGCAGTTTGTACAATAGAAAAAGCAAATGCTATAATTAACAGGTTACTCGAAGAACAAAGTCTCCAGAATTTGGGATTAGTAATTGTTGATGAATTGCATTTATTAGGTGATCCATACAGAGGATATTTATTGGAATTACTTCTTACAAAGTTAAAATATATATCTGAAAAATCAGATTTTAAAATTCAGGTAAATTTTTTTAATTTCTCAAATTAGTTTTTTCTCCTATTTTTACAGGTTATATTTTGACTGCTTTTATTTTTAAATATGATAAAATATTTTTACAGATTGTTGGTATGTCAGCTACATTACCTAATTTAAAATCTTTGGCTGATTGGCTTTTAGCTGATTTATATTACACAGATTTTCGTCCAGTTCCTCTTAAAGAGACTCTTAAATGTGGTAGTTTTTTTTTTGATAAGCATTTAAATAAAGTATCAGAACTAAAAATTTTAGAAGCTGAATTATCAGATGATGCAGAAAATGTTGGTCAATTATGTTTGGAAACCATTGCAAATGGTCATTCTGTTCTCATATTTTGTCCAACAAAAGTATGGTGTGAAAATTTGGCAGATAAAATTGCAATGTTTTTTAAAAAAAATGGATGCCATAAATCTGCAGAAATCGAGGGAACTCCTGGATGGATTTTAAGAAAACAGCTAAATTTAAAAAAAATAAATGAAGTTATTGAACACTTAAAAATGTGTCCAGTTGGGCTTGATACTGACTTACATAAAACTGTTTCTTACGGAGTTGCTTTTCATCATGCAGGGTTAACTCTTGATGAAAGAGATATTATTGAAGGTTCATTCCGAAAAGGTTCCCTAAGAGTACTATGTGCTACCTCTACATTATCTTCAGGTGTTAATTTACCTGCGAGAAGAGTAATTATTAGATCACCAATGTCTTTTGGTGGAATAATGGATATTTTAACTTACAGACAAATGATAGGTAAAATTACTAAGCATTTAAAGTTTTTTTAATAATAAATGTATTTAATACTAAATTACATTATTAATTACTCTTGGTAATTTCAGGTAGAGCAGGTAGAATGGGAGTTGATAGTGAGGGAGAAAGTATTTTAATTGCAAAACCAAATGAAAAAACTTTATGTCAAACTTTAATGTGCTCCACATTAAAGCCAATTGAAAGCTGTTTAGGCCACGGAAGATTATCAGCTAGTTTAAAACGTGCTCTTCTTGAAATTATCGCAAGTGGAATTGCAGCAACTCCTGAAGAAGTTGACAAATATGCTAGTTGCACTTTTCTTGCTTTTAGCTCTAAACATGATATTCAGGTAAGAAATCGAGTGATGTTGTTTCATAAGTTAAATAATAAAATTTTCATAAATGAAACTTTAAAGGATCCAATCAAGTCTTGTATTGACTTTTTGGAAGAAAATGAATTTATAAGACTGCAAGAAAACGGGACCATTTTCACTCCTACGCCGTTGGGAAAAGCCTGTTTAGCTTCTTCTTTGCCTCCTGACGAGGGGTTAGCTTTATTTAGGGAACTTCAAAGAGCGAGACGTTGTTTTGTACTGGACACTGATCTTCACATTATATATCAAGTAAGTGTACTCATATAATGCATTTATAAATTTAGTAATAAAAAAAAATTTAATGTGTTTTAATTTATCTATCAGGTAACTCCTTATAGTGTCTCTGAACAATGGAGCAAAATAGATTGGCTTAACGCATTGTCAATTTTAGAGAGTATTCCTTCTAGTATGAAAAGGGTTGGAGAAATGGTTGGAATCGAGGAAGCTTTTCTTGTACGAGTTGCTAAAGGAATGATAAATACAAATAACGTTGAAAATAGAAATAAATTATCGATTCACCGAAGGTTTTATACTTCGTTGGCTTTGCAAGATCTGGTTAATGAAATCCCTTTATCAGAAGTAGCTAAAAAATTTGAATGCAATAAAGGAATGCTACAATCACTTCAACAATCTGCTGCAACATATGCTGGTAATTTTTTTTTTTTTTATTTTTTAAGATTTTTTTTGTTAGATTTGTTTTCAATTATATTTTATTTAAAAGGTATGGTTACGGAATTCACCAAGTGCCTGGGTTGGAATAGCGTAGAATTGATTTTTTCACAATTTCAAGAAAGATTGCAATTTGGTATTCAACGCGAATTGTGTGAATTAATGCGTTTACCGTTATTGAATGCAGTACGAGCCAGAGTTATTTACAACGCCGGTTTTACAAATTTAATCAGTCTTGCCAATGCGAATGTCGTGGAATTAGAAAACGCGCTATTTTCAGTAGCTCCTTTTCAGAGTAAAAAAATGATTGCCGGAGAAACAAAATTCGATAAAGATGAAAGAAATAAATTAGAGACTATTTGGATCACTGGTAAAGCAGATTTATCAATTCGAGAAGCAGCAGAACTCTTAATTAGTGAAGCTAGAAATATTTTAGAATTGGAATTAGGATTAGAAAATCCCAAATGGGGTAAAGCGAATAATAGTTTTTCAAAGAATGAATCATTTGTCAAAGTAGAAAATCATTCAGTTATTCAATTAATGGATAAGATTTCAAAAGAAAAATCCGTAGAAAAAGAAAAGAGTACTAGAGAATTTCGGGAAGTAAATCAAAGTGCCAAAGGAATAAATAATGATAATCAAAACGAAATTTTACTCGAAAATAAAAAATTCGTAGAGCATAAAATTATCTGTGATATAAATGTTGACAGCAATAATGCTGAAATACATCAAATTAGCGAATGTAAGAAAAATATTAATCAAGAAAAGGACATTGAAAATAATTTAAGTATTAATTCTAGTCATAATCCTAATAAATTATCATTATCTGAAAAATCTTTTGATTCAAATCATAAGCATAAAAGTATTATAAAAAATGATAACGTAGAATTAAGTTCTATAAGTAGTTTTAAAGAAATAAATTTTACATCTTCATACATTTTCGACATGATACCCGATTATATAGCAGAAGGACAAGAAAATCAAAACGTCGATAATAACTCAGAGTCGGGTGATCTTGAAAATAATTTTATTGGAGCAGAAATTATGAATGATAGCAGTAAAATGTATAACGATTCAAAAGTTTTAAGTATTAGTAAATTGAGTGAAGATATGTTTGATAAAGATAATAGTTTTAATAAAAAAATGTCGACGCCGCTTCATTCAATTTCCGTTAAGGAGCGTTTGGAATCTGAAATGAATAAAAATCGTATAAACGAAACGAGCAGCCCGGATTTATTTAGTCAAAGTTTAACTTTCGACACGCAATTGGGAAAAATTTTAGATTTTGAAGAGCCACCAGTTCACGAAGTACAGTCTAAAGTTAATCCGAGTACTTCCTTCAACTCAGACGATTTGGGCTTTGTGTCCGATTTATCGCCTCCAAAACAAAATTTAAAATTTATTCAAAACCCTGCTGGCTCTTCAAAACTTGGCCAAGATAATACAATGAAGAAAATTGAGGAAAATCAAAATTTTCCTTCTTCTTCTTCATTGGATTTATTAGAAGTAAAAATTAATACGCCTGAAACTTTAAGGGAACCGCTGAAAAGAAAAGCCGAAGAAATCGATTCGCCGGATTTAATATTAGATTCTGACGAATCGTTAGTTGAAACCAAACATACGAGCAAACGCATGAAATGCAGTTTACGAGAAACCTACGGTACTTCCGGAAAAAAATGGCCTAGAAAAATAAATAATGATAGCGACGATGAAATCATGCCTACTCCCAAACTAGATAAAGGTTCTTTGTCAAATTTATCCAATATAAAAAAATTACTCAATACTTCTTTTAATGGCAACGTCGAATTTAAATCTAGTCAAAGTAAGTTCAATTTTATTATTATTATTATTATTATTGACCATATTAATTGTTTTATTCAATTAAACTTTTTTTTTTTTTTTTGTAAATAGAAACTAAATGGATTTCACAAAAAACAAAAGCCGGATTCAATGAGAGGATGACAATGAAGAAAATTAAATGCGAATCCATAAAAAGTCAAATAAATAGAGTCAAAGCGTCATTATCTGGTAGTATTAAATCAATAAATAAATGCGACAAAATCAATGTAATTGATATTTGTGAAAATGAAGAAGAGTACAGAGTAAGTTATTAATAAAAAAAAGATTTTTTAGTTATGAAAATAATTATTTTTTTTTGCCGTCATGAAAGCACCAAAAAATATTTTTTAGTCTTTCCGCGAGAAACTCAATGAACAAAAAAATATTATAGGCTTAGCTTTAGGATGTAGGAAAAAAATTGAAGAAAAAAAAACATTAATCGGATCGAGAATAATAAAAAAAAGACAAAGTGGTAATATTTCTAATACGAATTTTCCCGAATGCCACTACAAGGATGTGATTTTAGACGGTTTGGCATTTTACTGGGAAGGAGATTCTGTTGCTTACATGACATTGGATAATAGAAGTATGTTTAGATTTTTCGAGTAACGTGTTTTTTAAGTTTTTTTTTTTTTTATTTATAATAATATGCTATTTTTACAGTTGTGCCGTTAACGGAAAAAGTTGATTTTTTAAAAAGTTTATGTCAAAAGGAGAAAATATTTTGCTGTTACGATGTCAAAGAACAAATAAAAATGCTTAAAAGATGTTGTTCGATCTTGCTTTCGACATCTTTTACGGTTCGTTCGTTATGAATCAAATTCAAAAATAAATTGAAGTTTTTCTCTTTTTTTTTTTTTTTTATTAATTCGTAAAATTAATTACTTTAGGATCCTAAAGTTGCAAATTGGCTTTTGTCTGAAAATTGGAAAATTAAAAATTTTTCCACGATAGCTTTGGAACACGTTCCGGAATACAAAAATTTAATATCACAGGTCGGATCGGTTTTCGGGTATTCTAGTCCGGGTCTCCTCACCAAAAGTTCGGTTCCCTGCAAAACCAGAGCGTGTTTGGATGCGTACCTGACATATTACATACATCAAAAACAATTGCCTTTGTTGCGAGCCAAAGGATTGGACCAGGTTATTATTATGGTTTTGTTTTTGCATGTTTCTATAAAATATTTAATTTTATTAGGTAATGAAAAAAAAAAAAAATTATTTCAATCAATCACAATTATACCAAATGTGTATTTTTTTTTTTTTTTTTAACTGTTACCGTTTATTCAATTACAGTGTTATTTTCAAATAGAAATGCCTATTATGATAAGTTTGGCGGAAATGGAATTATCAGGATTTCAAATATGCCGGAATAAAGCATTGAGCATCAAAGAAAAATTAGATGGTATAATGGAATCATTAGAAGAAAAATCATATTCGATAGTTGGTTATAAGTTTTCAATGTCTTCTTCAGTTGCTATAAGCAAAGTAAAGTTGCAATAAAGTTTGCACGATAAGTTTTTTTTTGTTAATTTTTTTTTTGAAATTCAATAACGTTTTTGCTTTTAGGTATTATACAATGATCTTAATTTAGAAGTAGAAAATGTCATTTTAACGAAAAAGAAAAAATTATTTAGCACGAGCAAAGAAGCTTTGATGCAATTGGCAGAAGTAACAAAACATCCTTTGCCCAGTATTATTTTGCAATGGCGAAAAATAAAATCGATTCTATCGAAGGTTGTAATAATAATTTTACATATTTTATGTTAAAAAGTTTTTTTTTTTTTTTTTTTTTTTAATTATTTTTGACGTTATTATAGTTTGTCGCATTTCTCTTGCAATCTTCCGTGGAATCAACTCGGATTTATGGAGTTTCTCAAACGTTTACTCTCACCGGAAGGATATCAATGCATGAACCAAATTTACAAAACATTCCAAAAGCCTTCGAGGTAAACGATGGAGTTAAAGAAAATGTGTCTGTTTGTTTACGTGATATTTTTGTACCGTCCGAAAATTGTTTCCTTCTATCTGCGGATTATTGTCAAATAGAATTGAGAATACTTGCTCACTTATCCAATGATGAAGAATTAATTAAAAATATTTGCGAGTCTTCAGATATTTTTCTTAGTATAGCAGCCAATGTTTTTGGCATACCGAATTACGAGGTACGTTTAAAAAAATAATTTGCAAATATGTGAGTTATTGTATATGAATGTGTGTAACGTGAAACTAATTAAAAATATTTATTAATTCTAAGGTTGACGATAATCTTCGACAGCGTGCCAAAGAAACAACTTATTCCATTATATACGGTGTAGGTTGTAAAACATTAGCTCAAAAACTTGATATTACAGAATCCGATGCAACATCTTTAATGGAAAACTTCAAAAGCAAATATTCAGGTTTGTTTACTTAAACGGAGGTACATAATTTTAAAAATTTGCATTTTTTCATCGGTAATTTTTTTTATCGTCAGGTCTCGAACAGTACATTGAGAAAATTATTCAAAATTGTCGCGAAAAAGGATACGTGACCACACTTTCGAAACGTCGAAGGTATTTACCCGAAATTAATAATTCGAATCCGGGATTAAGAACGGAAGCTGAAAGGATGGCAATTAATACAACCATTCAAGGTTCGGCTGCGGATCTCATAAAAACTTCCATGATTAATTTGAGGGAAAAATTTGAATGTTTTTTATCGGTAAATTAATTTTTTCGAGCAAAAAGTTTTTTTTTTTTTTTTTTTTTTTTTTTTTTTTGTTCGAATCGAAATTTCTAACGAGTTTTAAACATTTTTTTTTTTTTTAGGATGGTGTCACAATAAATTTAGTTTTGCATTTACACGATGAAATCATATTTGAAATTCAAAAAGATGCCGTCGAAACCATTGCCGGCGTCATTAAGGAAACTATGGAAAATGCCATGGAATTGAATGTTCCCATTCCTGTAAAAATCAAAACGGGATCCTCTTGGGGTTCGTTGAGTTTCTACGAAATGTAAGTTTTTTTTTTATTTTTTTTTTTAAAATTATTCAATGGGGTGTAAATATCCGTAGAATTATTTTCTAGTTAATTTTTGAAAATGATGAATTGCCAACATTAACCAAAAAAAAAAAAAAAAAAAATTGAAAAATTATATATTATATTAGTTTAATTATATTAAACTATATTTAAGTAAGCAAAAATCATTTTCAAAAAAATAGAGCAAATTTTTTTTTTTTTTTGTTTGGTCTAAAGTAGACTTTACTTTTAAAACTAAGAAATTTTAAAGTAATTTTAAGGCTAAATGTCTCTTTAAAAAAAAAAGTTTAATTTATAAATACGCGGTTAAGTAATACCGAAAGGATCGCAGGTACGGATATTTTCACCCGTGAATTTAGTAAAATTGTAAACGGGTAAATCGGTTCCCCATTTAACTTGCTGTAGGCACCCTTTGAACCCTGCGGTAAAGTAATTGTGAGTTTTGTTGGATATTTCGTTCGTTTCCGGAAATCCTCCCAGAAAAAATATTCCATTCGTTGCGAGTTGATGATCAGTTTCATGAGTCTCGTTGGAAACCCAAACAATGCGGCCATCCATCCATATCGTTACGTTGGATAATTCAAAATCTATCGTCAAATCGTGCCAAACGCCATCTGCAATGATTTTGTTGGGTGTGACCACCGTTGTGTTGTATCCTTCCCAACTCCATACGAATTTCATTTTTTCATTTTCGATTCCGATTCCTAAAAATTCTTTTTGATTGCCATCAGTTGAAGTCCAAAGCAAAAGACCATTTTCCTCCGGCGTTGTAAAATTTAAATAAATACTGTTCACTTCGAATTTTTCTCCCAGGTCTCTTTTTTTCGAATTTGCATTCATGTGTGATCGATCTATCAAGAGGTAACTGTTGCCACCGAATTGAGGGGCATGTACGGAAAGAGCTAATTGAAGTACAAAAATAAAATTTTAATTGTTTTAATTTATTCTATATTCGGTAATTTTTTTTTTTTTTTTTTTTTTTTTTTTTCCACTTACTCGATTCGCAAAAATCTCCGCCCCAACCGTTGGGGCAATTACAGGTCGGTACGTAATTATTATTATTATCTATGCATCTGCCTTTATTTTGACAGTTCATCTCTTTGCAAGATAATCTGTTTTCACATCTTCTTCCGACGAATTGCTAAAAAACAAAGAAAAAATAAATTTTAAACTTTGAACTTTTCCGCTTGATTTCCCCATATTAAGAAAATTATGATTATTATTCTGTCTCGGAAACCTTTAAACAAGTGCAAATGGGTGCCTCGTTCGCATCAATGTGACAAGTTCCTCTGTTGTAGCAAAAGTCAGCACCGCATAATGTGCCATCACAATCTTCTACGTTTCGTCCTTCTATAATGTTATTATTCGTCAAAGGTATTTCCTTCCATTGAGTATTAAATCTTCTTATGCAACCTTCGAAATATGTTAAAATTTTCCCACTAACTCCGAGAGGTAATTTTGACAAATCGGGAGCTCCACCTGAAATAATTTTTCATTTCATTTTATTGATTTTGAACGTGGTATTAGCTCAAATAATTCTCGTGTCGTACCTATATAGATAAAATTTGAACTGGGTGACACGTTTTCCCCGGGTAATAATACTCCGGTGCTAACTGTTCCCTCCGTCCAAAGAAATATTCTTCTACCGTATCTTCCGGCTCTAATTTTATGCCATTTTCCCAATTCGAGTACTTTTTTACATTTAATCGTCAATATATCTCCTCGCCTTCTTCGGAAACCTGGAAAACGATTTTAAAAACGATTTTAATCAATAATTTATTTTGATGCGAATCAATCACTCTAATATTAATAATCACCCATTGAAATTCTCAATTCGATCATTCCATCTTGCAGAGACAGCGACCAAAAACTTTGTCCTTCTGGTCGTCCTGAATATAATATCAATCCGTGCTTGCTCAAAGGTCGAATTTCTAAATTAATGCAAGACTGAAACTGATGCAATCCTTCAACTGAAAGTCCTAAGTACGACCGAATCCCTTTGAATTTTATGTCAGAAAGTTCCTCGCCTAAAAGCAAAAAAAAAAAAAAAATAAGGCAAAACATTCGTGAATGATGTGACGTGACGAGAGATTTGACTCCTTACTTTTTTCGCAATATTTTCCTGTTTTTCCTATCGGACAGTCGCAAAAAAATCCCTCTCGAAGTGGTACGCATGTTGATCCCTCACTGCAGTTTTGGCGAGTTGTATCACACGGATTGTATTTCATAGAACAAGTCGGTCCGAACCATCCGTCTTTGCATAGACATCTATTCGAGAGAGAGAAAAAAATAACGTGTTATATTTGATAGTAAGTTTCGAATGATAAGAACTCGACTCACGTGAAAGTCGCCCCGTGATCTATGCATCCGCCGCCATTTTCGCATGAATTCTCATTGCACATCGTCGTTCCGCATTGACTGATTCCCCTGCTGAAAATCGGTTGAGATTTGTCTACTTTTATCAGCATTTGTCCGGTTCTTATTTCCACGTCGAACAAACATCCGGTGAATCCAGTATGCAAAGGTAAATCGTGCGGAAGCAGGGAAAAATTTCTCGATTCGTGTCCTCCCAAATAAAGGATTGACCGAGCATTGAGTTGAGTTAATTTTCCCGGTGATTTTCCGGTAACGTTTCTTTGGTCGTCAACTATAAGCCAAGCCCTCTGACCAGCTCTTCCTATTTGAACGGTGTGAAACAAATGTCCCGTGTAGGAAACGGGATGCGGAGTGAAAATCCTACGTGGCCCTGAACCTAAATTCCAGGTCAATACAATGTAACCCTTAATAAAGCTCACCGCCAAATGATCTGACGTTGACCCGTGATAACCATCTTGACCCATAAAAAGCATAAGTGAGATTTGTTCTATATCGTGAAATATAAATTTAAATGTTAATTGCATGTCTTGGTAAATTTCGGTCGGTATTTTATACGCAGCGAATGATGAGAGTCCGTTAATGGAGGATGCAAAAAGTGGATATTCAATGTCTATACCTGTTTAAAAATTTCTTTCACTTAAAAAAAAAATAAATTGCGAATGTGTTAAATTTTCAATTTTTTTTTAAATATCTTACTGTTTTCGCAAAATAAGCCATTTTTTCCGATTGGGCAAAGGCACACAAATCCGCTTCCTGGAAAGGGTGCGCAAGTTCCTCCGAATTGACATGGGTTATTATTACAAATTGATATTTCGCAAAATCGACCTAAAAATCTGTCAAAGGACCATTGTTCATCTTCGAAAAAATAATAATAATAATAATAATGTTTGCAAATGAAACTTACCCAGGCGGACACATGCAAGCCCAAGTGTTGTTGAAGTCAATACAAGTTGATCCTCCCCTACACGGATTAGAAAGGCAAGCCAGGGATTTGCATTCCGATATTCCGTAGCTGTCGAAAGAATCTTTAAAAATTCCTTTTGTTTCGTTGTTAATCTTAAAAATAAAAAAAGTAGCAGTAGATTTAACACTTTGGGTAATTTTACGATGTATGCAACGGAAATTTTTTTTTTTCGAGTGCTTACAATCAAAGTTTGTATACAACCGATAAAACCTTCGAAAACCGGAGTTTCTTCCGGATTTACGTATTGATTTGGAATTCCTCCGACGTAAATCCAAGCTGAAGTAGAGTCCACGTGAGGGCCCCTCGTTATTTGTTCTCCACTCATTGCCAGCGTGTTATTTAATCTTACCGTGGCACCGCAGAATTCTGGATATTTGTTCGAAGAATGAAAATCTAATCTGAAAAGGAAAAAATTTTTTTTCGAAATTGTTTTTTGTTGTTCGCATTGTAATTTAAACTTTAATTAGACTCACTATAAGGTACAACTTACGTGATTGTCGCATTAAAATCAAAACCATTGTTTATCAAATATTGTATTTCGCTTAGTATCATCGTTTGCACGCCACAGGAAAACTTAAATTTTAACAAACCATCTTCTAAATAGAGAGTTATGAATATGTTGGGACCGAGATGAGAATATAATATTATTCCCGAGGGATATATTGTTCTTGCAGTTAAATCGATTTTAATGTTTCGAGTATCCGTCAAACGATGGCTGACATACGAATTCCTTGAAAAACCGGCTACTTTGATGTTGATTTTACTGTCGCAAAAACGTCCTTCCCAAATAAACTTGCAAACGCACTAAAATTTAAGGTTTTCGTTTAAAATAAAAAATTAATGAATCGATTGATAATAAAATAAGGTACATACTTTAGGTCCGTATGTTGTATTCAAACAAGTTCCTCCATTTAAACATGTCATGGATTTACAATGCCAGGGTTTCGAAGTCGTTAACTGGGAAACGGTCGGAGTAGTAAAATTGCTATATTCGGTAGAGACAGAGGAAATTTGTAAAGGGGTAGTTGTAGGTTTTTCTGTAGTGAGAGTAATTGTTTCGGTTGTGGCGTTTTGAAATTTTGTCGATGGTTGATAAAAGATTTCTTCAGTGGTAACTAATTCAGTGGTTGTCGGCTCTGGCTCTGTTGTTGTTGTTGTGATAATTTCCGATGTTTGAAATTCTTGTGTAAAAGACATTGGTGGTTCCGTTGTAACCATTGTTTCGGTTGTAGTGATTGGGGTTGTAGGTGATGTAATTGTAGTTAAAATTGTTTTTGTAATTGGTATCGTCTCAGGTGCAATACTTGTTGTTGTTGTTGTTGTTGTTTTGGGTTCTGTTTGAGTTGTAAATGTTTCAGTTTCCGTTGTTAAAATCTCAGTAGGAATGGGCGTTGTTTCAAATGTAGTTTTTGTAATTGTTAAAGAAGGCATCGGAGTTGTGATTTTAACTTTCGATGTTAACGTTGTAATTATCGTGGATGTTCTTAAGGTGCCAGGAGTTGTACTCGAAACGGTAGTTTTCAATGTCTTCTGAGTGGTTTTCGCGGTTTTAGGACGTGAAGGAGGCATCGTAAACTGAGGCCAAATAGGAAAACATTGCGTAGGATACGGAAATAAAAATTTAGGTGTTGTTTTTTTTGTCGATGATACACTTTTCGGTGTGGAAGAAATTTTTTTAGGATCTTTTGGCACGTTGTTTTTCCAAATTGGCACCTTTTCTAAATTTTTAGGCGAAGATGTATGAAAAGAAGAGATGAAATAACTGCAGTCTAATTTTTTATCACTTCCTATTAAACATTCGCAAAATTTCCCTGTCCATCCCGGCGGACAAGTACAATTAAACCCATCAACTCCATCGATGCACGTTCCTCCGTTTTGACATCTGCATCGACGTTATAAAAAATACGTAAAAAAAAAAAAAAAAAAACATTTTGATTAATAAATCTTTTAAATGTATCAAAAATAGAAATTTTTTTTTAACTTACCCGGGACCTAAAAGACATTCATTGTACTGAAATTGACACCTTTCTCCGTGAAAGTCAGGTACGCAATAACAAACCCTTAACCAATCTTCTACTAAGCAGAGGGCTCCGTTTTGACATGGGCTTGAATCGCCACACATTTCAAGTTCTACTTCGCAATTTCTTCCAGTGAATCCTAGAAAATTTATATTAATTCTAATGACTAACTGACTAAAAATGAACTAAATTATTAGTGTACCTTACTCGAGTGAAAGACATATATTACCGAATGGACATACGCAGACATAATAAGCATGTAAATCCAGGCAAATGGCTCCATTTTGACAAGGTGATGACAAACACTCATCTAAATTATTTTCGCACAATTGACCCGACCAACCTGATCATATAATAAAGTTGTAGTTTTATATTGTAAGTAAGGTAAAATAGTTAACGATTCTTACCTAACGGACATATACAATTAAAAGTTAAACCTGGACCCTCTATGCAAAGACCTCCATTTAAACATTTTGCTTCAAGCGTGTCATTACACACGGATATGTCGTTTTCGCAAAAATCTCCCAAGTATCCGGATGGGCAGGCACAAGTGTAACCATTTGAACCATCAATACAAGTTCCATTGTTATAACATGGATTGGAATCGCATTCGTTAATGTTTTGTTCGCAATGATCTCCTTTAAAAAAAAAAAATCATAAAAATCTTTTTTCTAAGGCAATTTGCACGAGTCGAAAACGTGAAAAATTTATCGTAATTTTGCGATAAAAGAAGGGAAATTTAATATTTTACCTTGGTACCCTTGAGGGCATGTACAATTGTATTGCGCAATACCATCATTGCATGTTCCTCCATTCAAACATGGATTCGACCAACATTCGTCCCAATTTGTTTGACATAAATGACCGGTGTAACCGTCTACGCAGTAACAAAGAAAAGTTCCGTTAGCATCATCGACGCATATTCCGTACACGCAGGGATTACTCAGACAAGGCAAATTCACACGGTTTGATTCTGCTCGATTGAAAGGAGTCAAATGTGCGAGTAATATTAGAAAAATCGTTCCTATCGTAATTATCTGCCGCCATTTTTCGGTTTGATCATCCGCAATCCGGCGGTTTCGATGGTACTTCATTCCGCATTTCTCATTGTTTTCATATCTCGATTCGATATTCCCCTTTTTCCTCCCGATTAAAAATAAATCGAGTCCATTCTAAAAAATGAAAAAGAAAAACCATCGTCAGTATTATCTCTCTCTCTCTCTCTCTCTCTCTCTTGGTTTTTTTTAAGGTACGAATGAAATTTTTTCGCTGCGGTCGAGATGAGTTCTTTGTGATTTTTACACCTGATTCTCCTCCCTCCCTCCCTCCTCTCTCTCCTCCTCCTCCTCCCTTTCCTCCTCCCTTCTCTTCTCCTCCCTTTCCTCCTCCCGTGCACTCTCTATGACTTTCACTCTTTTATTTTTTTATTATCATTCGGAATCGATTGAGTCAAGATGATGATTAATTAGTCATAAATGAAATTAATTATTTTTTTTTTTTTTTTTTACTCGTGCCATTAAAAAATAGAAAAAATAATAATAATAATAATATCGCATATCGGGTTTTATTTATTTATTTATTTTTATGTAAAGCAAATAATAATTTAAATATTTTACGCAATAGTTTTTCTTCTTACATAATATAACGTTCGATGTAATGAAATATATATGAACAAACCGTCGACATTTCTTTTTTTTTTTTTTTTTTGTTTAAATATTTTATTTAAATAAGGTAAATGATAACCGGTGATTAAAGAATCCATTGGGTAAATTGAAATGATGAGTTGTTTAGTTTTACAATCGAAAATGAAAATTTGAATTTTGTTGAATGGGAAAATGGAGGGAAAAATTTGTGAGTTTAAAATCCGCAACCGGATACGAATTTTTTTTTTAATGATGGTGAAACGAGTTCATTTGATTTTGGCAAAGTATTCGATTTTGATTTTCACTCCAATTCTGCTTTCTTTTTTTTTTTTTAATTTTCAAATTAATAATTTTGTAAAACGTTTGTAGAACCTTTAATTATAAAAGTTTCGCTTTTGATCGAGTTTTCTTTTTTTTTTTTTTTTTTCTTTTTTTTTTTTTTGGATGCTGGTTTCAGTTGGATTTCATTTAATTGCCATTTATATTAACGAGGTTAAGATTCGATGAACGAGGGAAAAAAAAAAAAAGAAACCTTGGAGCAATTTTTGCTTCAGGTATATTTTTGCGTTTGACGAGTTTTTGACAAAAAAGTCACCAGAAAAAAAAAACTTTTTCTTTTTTTGGCGCCAAAATTTACACGTATTTTGTAAAACGTTGTTGATAGCTTTTAATTATAAACGATGATGACGTAAAAAAAAATACAAAAACAACGAATTGTACGAAATTTTACTTTCTCCATTCGTAACGAATAGTAAAAAAAAAAAAAAAAAATAGGTTAGTATATATTTGTCAATAAACCTGTTTTTGTTCTGATTATATTCGAAATCGTTTTTACATCGTCAAGTCCATAAATTTTTTTACGATTTGTTTTTTTTTTGTTTACGAAAAAAATTTATTTTTCAATGGCGGAATAATATCAATGGCGGCGACGTAGAAGAACTCAATAATTAAATCTTAATAATTACGCGAGTTTCGTTTTCAGTTCAAACGCGTTTATCAGTGATTAAAAAAACTGTATCAGGTTTTTATAAGTGTGTGTGTGTGCGCGTGTTAATTTTTAAAAATAAATTGAAGTTTGTTTTAATTCGATAATCGATCGATAAATCGATTCGTTTTGATATTAATCGTCGTTACGTTAATTTTTTTCAAGAAAATTTAAAAAAAAAAGAAAAACATTTTTCATTTTAAAAAAAGTTTTCCTTGTTTATTCAGAGCGAATCGCGGTTTCGAGTAGTAGTAGTAGTAGTAGGAGGTAAGCCGTCAATTTTTTATTTATTATTATTATTATTATTATTTTTTACGAAAAAAAGGCCGCATATCGAATTTGAATCGACGCAAAAGATTTACGAGTTTTTGCTACGGTAAAGAAATGAATTTTTTCTGTTTTTCGAAAAGGAAATTTTTTAAATAAATTATTTTTAAAACAGTGAAAATTTCAATCGATCAAAATCAAGGAAAAACGTTGGAAAATCGTATAATAATAATAATAATAATAATAAAAATATTTAGTAAAAATTAATGCCGAGTCTTGTTGATCGACGTAAAAAAAAAAAAAAAATTTTTTTTGGTTGTTGTTGTTGTTGAATTTTTCGAATTTAAAATTTTCTCTCTCTCGCAGCAAGTCGCAGGCATCGATTTTATTGATTTTATTGATTTTATTTATTGATTTTTTATCGATTTTATTAGTTTTTTGGCGTGTAATTGTATGTAAGACGCGTGATGATGACCGAATCGAATGCTTCGAAATGTTTTTTTACCCTTTTCCCCAAGCTTTTCTTTTGGATTCAATGATAAAAAATAAGGGATGATGGATGATGATGATGATGATGATGATTTTTTGCTATTGTTAGATACGAGGAAAATTTTTTTTTTGGGAAAATGAAATCGGGTGGGGTGAGTGGGCGGGTGATTTTAACGCCGCGTAATATTTTAAACAATGAGTTGAAACCCACTTTTTCGACGTTAACGTAACGTTCTCATGCTCGACAAGGTCTTTCAAGTTTTTTTTTTTTTTTTTTTTTTTTTCTCCATCATCACGAACAGGCAAAACCACAGAATTTTATTTATTTACTTATTAACTTATTCGTTTATTTATTTATAATTTTTTTTTTTTTTTGTAAATCTGAGAAAGGCCGCACAAATTCATTGATTGTGAAGTTAAGGTCGTCAACATTAAGGTCGGTAGTGAGTCTTTGTGTCTTTTTGTTTTTTTATTCGTACCCATAGTAATTCATTCACTCGAATTTGCAAAAAAAAAATTGTAAAATTACCGGAAATTAAATTTTGTGGTAGCCTCAAGCGATCTATCGATCGATCGATCGATGAATCGATGAATCGATTTCCTAATTTTTTCTTATATTTGGATAACAGTTTTTTTTACCACTAAAATGTTAATAGGCAATATCAGATGTTATCTAACTTTTTTTTTTTTTTATACATAAAATTGCGTAATCTTATTTAAATAATATCCTTTGTGTAACTTTTTACGTATTAATTTTATTTTTTATATGTATACATTTTGAATATAATACGAAAGACGGTGTGTGAATAAAATAGTTATTTATTGAACGACCCCCCCATCTCCCCGTCGTCCCCCTCCTCTTCCTCCTCCCCACGTTCCTCGTCTCTCGAGGGGCACACACAACAAATAGCGTGAGACTATTTTCTTCAACGATTTAAGTAACTTTCTTCTTTTGTTGTTGTTTTATTATTATTATCATTATTATTTTATTTCATTATTACTATCATTATTATTATTATTATTATTATTATTATTATTATTATTGTTTTTTAATGATAGAACGATGGTAATGAATGACACGTGTGTTAAAATATTGGAAATCGATCGTTAAAATTTTTTTCTTTTAATGTTGTAACGGAATTTTTTATTTTTTATTTTTTTATTTCTTTAGAATGAAATTTCGGGTTAAACTGAAAATGTCTATCCGCCATTTTTTTTGCCATTTTTTTTTGCCATTTTTTTGCTACCCTCGTGAAAAGTCAAAATTTTCCCCCTTTTCGAAACCCTTTTTGTAATTAATTTGCATTTTTTATTTATTTATTTCCGACTTACTTGATTTCCCACGGTGGTAGTTTTTTTATTATAAAATTCATTATTATTATTTCTACCCGAGAGGGGATACGTACGAACGAATTTTCCTTTTTTTTGTTTTAATTTATTGATTATTCGGGGAGTCGAAAAAAAATTTTTTTTTTTATTGTGAATTTTTTTAAGGGTTGCTGTGTGAACGGTGGTCATTTTCTTTTTGATTAACATGCGTATTGACTGTTGTCGAGTTGAGCCATTTTTCCTGTTCCCCTTTCTTCCCTCCCCCTCCTCCGAAAGTTTCATTACGGATTTTTCTAGGAAAACTCAATAAGAAATTTGATAGTTTTTTTTTTTGGTCTGGAATTTTAACGAATTCTTTCATCCTTTTCTCGATTTTTTTTTTTTTTCGATTTACTTAATTGAAAATTAGAAAGAAAGGATAAGAATCCCTTTGCCGGAAAATTTTTTTCACCCGTTAAAACGAACAAAAAAGAAAAAAAAACGCCATATTGTGACGTGGTATGGAAAATTTGTCGTAAATGTGATGAACAATTAGTCAGGCACGACATAAAATTTTTTTTATTTTATTTATTTTTTTTATTGTTGTGAAGAAATTCCGAAAGGGAGGTTGTTTTGAATGTTATTTTAATGATAATAATGATTGATGTAACGTTTAAATTTAATGGTATTATGATAATAATAATAATAGTAGTAGTAGTAGTGAAAAGGTCGATGGTAATTGGGGAGCTTTAGTTTGTTTTTAGTACGAACGGTTAAAATTGTTTTAAAAAAAAAAACTTTTCGTGGTGGTTGGTGAGGATTTAAATTTTTTTATTATTCCGACAGAATTTTCCGAGAGATTTAAAAAAAAAAAAGGAAATTTTCCTGTCGTGATAATATAATAATAATAATTTACGATAAACTTACCGAAACGGTGAAAAATAAAATTAGGAAAAGAAAAAAACCTTTTTTTCCTTCCCTCCCCTCGTTTTTGTTTTTTCTTTTTCTTTTCCTTCCTTCTTTCCCGATCGTCCTTATTTGGAAAATTTTAATTTTCGCTTTTTCAAGAATGGGTTACGATGGGCGACTGGAAAATTTATTTTCTCAATATATTGCCGCCTGGCAGAGAGTTCACGGTTTCTATGGAGAAACAAAACAAAAAAAAAGTAACAACAAAACGAAATATTATTATTATTATTATTCCCAAGCGAATAACCAAACATTAAAAATTATATCTTTAAATGATGATGATGATAATGATATAATTTTCCGATTGTTTCTCTTTTTTTTTTTTTTTATTATATATCCATCGTTTGATGGAGTCAAACTGGAGTCGCAAAATTAGACCAATATGTCGTCAATCATTAGAAAAATGAATTTTCGATGAAAAAAATTATTATTATTATTTTTTCTAGATGATTTAATGATGATAGCTCTCGGAAATGCTTTCTACCATCTTTTTTCTTTTCTTTTTGGAGGAGAGGAAAAATGTGAGAGTAGAATTACGCGAGTTTTTTTTTTTAAATGAATGGTCGGTCGATGAATTTTCTTTGTTTTTGTTTTTTTGTTTTTTGCGGTTGGGCACTTGAATCGTGTTGGTAGTAGAATAAAATTATTACATCCGGACGACATGAAAATAAGAGCAATCAAAAGAATATTGAATTTATAAAAGAACGTTCGCATACGTCATCATACGTGAGCATAGGTATTCGTACACAATACGTTGTTAATTGGCACTTGCCCGAAATTTTTATTATTATTATTATCAAACACGTTTTTTTAGATCGCTAAACGCTCTGCTTTTCTTTTTTTCCTACCCATTTCCGATTACTTTGAGGTTTGAGAGAGACAGAGACAGAGAGAAAGAGAGAGAGAGAGAGAGAGAGAGAGAGAGAGAGAGAGAGAGAGAGAGAGAGAGAGAGAGAGAGAAAGAGAGGAAGAGAAAAAGAGAGAGAGAGAGAGAGAAAGAGAGGAAGAGAAAAAGAGAGAGAGAGAGAGTAATGTAATTGTTTTTCAGTTGTTTCAGTTTTACAGATTAAAAATTTTTTAAATGATTTTATCCGTTCGCGAACTGTCCTCGTGCCCTTGGAACCATTTAACCATTTAATTATTATTTTTTTAATTAGCGGAAATTAAATTAGAGAGAGAATCCTTTGTCGTTTGTCGTTTGCCGTTTGCCGTTTGTTTTGTTTCAAATATTCGACTTTCACATATATATATTTTGCATTGAATTCTCTCTCTCTCTCTCGTTCCGATTGTTTTGCCCTCAAATAATAATAAATATCTTCGATACATCAATTTTTTTTTTTTTTTAATACTTTTTCCATTGTTTTTTTATTTTTGTCATCGCGAATCGAGTCGACTGATGAGTTCCAAGTTTTTTTCTTTTCTTTTCTTTTTATTAAAATTAACTTTCTCCCCATTGATTTTTGTTTTTAATGAAGAGTTACTTGAAGGGATTCGATTTTCAATTAAAACAATCGAATTTCGATTGTTTAAAGGGATCGTTTAAAGGGATTTTCGATAGAAAGAGAGAGAGAGAGAGAAAAGAAAGGAAAATGGTTTTTCCGTTAAATTCCGAAGCGATTCTGACGTGGGAAAATTATGCCATAAGAATTTTTTTCTTTTTCTAAAGTCGCGAGAAAATTTATATATTGCAACAACGTCTTTAATTAATTAAAAAAAAAAAAAAAAAAAAAATGGTCGGAAACGGGTAATAAAAAAAACGTAAAAAATTTAACTTTTTTTTTTCCTTTTGAAAAAAAAATTTTTTTTTTACCCTAAAAAAAAAAAATAATCCCCTCAATTAAAAAAAAAAAAAAAAAAAAAATTTTTTTTTTTTTTTTCCTTTCCCGGGGGGGGACCATAAATTTTTTTTTTTTTTTTTTTTTTTTTTTTTTTTTTTTATTGTTCATAAAAACTTTTTAATCATTTTAACGGACGCGAAACATGGTTAAATTTTTATGTTTTTTTTTTTTTTTTTGCAATGATGATGATGATGATGATGATGGTTCGATTTCGAAAAGAAAAGAAAAAGAAAAATATTTGATTTCCTGTAATGGGGTTACTTTTTTTTTAAGCACTCCCCAAACTCTTTTTAGCTTTCCCCCCCCCCTCTCTCTCACACACACACACACACAAACGCCATCTTTTGTAAATTTTCCATTAAAGTTAATTAATTTGAAATAATTTTAATTTTTTATATAATTTAAAAAAAGCGTGAGAAAAAATTTTGTCGAGACGATCATCATCCGTTTGCATTCCTTCCTTCCTCCTTACACAAAAGATATATATTATTATTATTATTATCTATTATCTATTACGGGTCGGGATGCGGTGAACACGCACACACACACAATTTCGCAAAAAAAAAAAAAATACTAAAATGTATATAATAATAATAATGATAAATAATTTTTTTGAATTCGCATAAGCCAAATACAACCTAGATTGGTTTGTACTCGGGGGTTAATGACCTGCAGGTGATTTTGAACTCGATGGTATCGTGTCAGATGTTAGTCGTGGTTTAATACTTAACAATACAATACCAGTTAGTTTGATCTCGTTGGTGTTATCGAAAGGGTCTATTATTATAAATGGTTCCTTTTCATCATTTTCGGTTGTTATTTTAAAAAAAAAAAAAAAAAAAAAAGGATTTTAATAATAAAACAGGTTAACGTTGATGCAATGCGTTGACAGACGTTAAAAATAATAATAATAATAATAATAATTTAGTTAATTTTTCTAATAGGTATTATTTATTTTTGTTTACTTTTTAATTTTCTTATATGATTCTTAATAGTAAAGAAATCGTTATCAATGTTTTCAATTTTTTTGGATTGACGTTATGTAATAATGATAATAATAATATCGAGTTGATATTTTATTGGAAACAGTTGCAGATTGTCGTTGATTTAATATTTCAATTTTTTATATTTTTTTTATCATTATTTTTCCAAGAGTAAATTTTTCAATGATAAGTTTTTGTTGTTGTTGTTGTTTACTTTTTAACCTAAAAATTTGTGTGAGTAAAAATTTGTGTGACAAAATATTTATATTGACATTGATTTTATGTTTGTTTTAAATTGAGCACGTTCACTTTGTGAGTTTGTTTGTTTTGCAAAAGTGAGAAATTATTATTTTTCTCCCCCCCCCTCCCCATATTACTTGGTTTTTTAAAATTGAAAATGATTCATAGTTTTAAACATAACCCAGTCAGGTTGAAATTTACAATCAGTCAAACCTGGTTGTTTTACATCAAATGAAATAAATTTTTTTACTCTGCAAAGTAATAATTTAAAAATTTTTTTTTTTTTTTTTTTTTGATCGAGAAAAGGAATGAAAATTGATTTTTTGAGGAGAGGTTATTTGTGTCATTTGTACAGGTATGTAATTATTTTATTTGTTTCAGGTAATTAAAAGAAGAAGAAAAAAAAAATGAACACTGATCCAGGGATTTTGTGTTTTCAACACTGCGACAAAAAAGTTTTCTGTTTCGAGTTACCCAATTTGTGTCCAGTTTGTAAAAAGAATTTATCGACAGAACAATTTAAATTACTACCGATTAGAATTCCATATCCATTTGTCAGAGCAGCACAGCATCCATGTTCGATATTGATAAAACCAACATCTGGAGATTTTTTAAAGTTTGTATTATTATTATTATTATTATTTTATTATGCAATAAATGATTAATTACATTTTTATTTAATCGCTCATTATGTTATGAGAAAAGTAAAAAGTTACAGTTTTCGATTACAATAACAATGACTATGTTTGCAAATTGTGTAATTACAAATTGGAAAAAGTAATTAAAAAAAAAAAAAATCTGGGGTAATTGTGTTTTTTTTCATTAGTCAAACAATGCAATTGTTTTCATCAAATTTTCTTCCTTCCTGTATCGAATGATTTAATTTCATGTTTAATAACACAATTTTTGTTTTTTTGTTTTTCGTTCTCCAGTGATTATTTTAATTCTGTTGATTTACATATCGGAGTAACAGATTCGACTGGAGCTGTGGTAGAATATGATAAAAATGGACTGCAAAGACAAAAAAACAATTCATGGAATCAATGTTTAGTTTTAGATGGTATGGATGAACCATGGGCGGATCAGTGGGATGAAGCTTTAAAAGCTGTCATAAAAGAAGGTCACTGGACGCCACAAATGTAAGACTCGATTCCATTTTTTTCTTTTTATTGTTCTTTGTCGAGATTTCATCGATGATTCAAATCAATTTTTTTCACTTATTTTTTTTTTTTTTTAATTGTGATTAAAATTAACGACCGTGCACATTGTAACGGTCACTGGACCGGGACGAATGAAAAAATCATTCAAATAGAAAATAATGGTGGTCCAAGTATTTTTTTTGCACGTTGATTTTACTTTTTCTTTTTTTTTTTAATGACGCTTGACGAGTGCTTGACGATTTGCGACTATGACCCACAAGGGAATAAATATTCAACGGATTCTCTAAAATATCTTTTTACAATGAGTTTTTATTTTTTATTTTTTTTTTGTAGGTACAATGAAAATAGTTATAATTGTTACACGTTCGTATTGGCGTTCCTTAAAAAATTAAAACACGATCTATTGAGTAACGCCGCTTATTCTAGCACGTATTTTTGCGAAAAATTCATATTGCCACGAACGACAGCGGCTGGTAAATACATATCCTTATATAGAAAATTAAGAGCCGTGGATTTTTACATTCACGGTGGATCCGACGTCAACATTGCGTCCGTACCAAGAATCAGTTCCTTCTAGATAAATATAAATATAACTATAATCATAGTAATAATGATGATGAACAATTCGATATTAGGATATTAAATAATTTGAGCTTTATTTTTAATTAAATTCGAAGAAGAATTAACGTATATAAATAATATTCCAGCGGCGACTCTTGCTTGAGTATCCTGTTGATTTAATTCGTGGGACCATTCGATTCGGCCCCATCGTTTTCCCTGAAACAAAAAATTTAAGGGGAGCTCAATTTTGTGAATATTTGTACACAATAAGGTGAGTTACTTAAATCGGTTTTAATTAATCATAAGTTATTAATTTATAATTTTATAAAAATACATGAAACAAAGTTTTTGAGAAAGAAAAAAAAAATTAAGTATAAGAAAGTATTTTTATAAATTGACATATTTTTTTTATAATATATTAAAATTTTTTAATACTATTATATGAAACTACCTGATATTCTTCTTCCAGTCTTGATAAATAAACAGCTTTTTCAACTGAAATATATCTTTCAGCACATGTAATACCTAAAATAACTGATTTTAAAGCTTCTATTGTAAAAATGAAACCTGTAACAAAAAAAAACAATTTATTTATTTTTTTTTATTATTTAAATAAGTAAAAAAGCATTAAAAATTTTGTTTGTTAAGCATACCATGAACAGCCCATAAGTTATACGATAATAAATATTTTCTCAAAACGTCTTTTGCTTCCATACTTATTTTAGGACCGCTTATGTCTTTTGACGATTCTATTGAAATATCAAATTTTTTACAAAACCAATTTAAAATCGGTTGCCATTCTTTTAATTGCAAATCATATAATTCATCTTCTTCCTGTAAATTTATTATTTGTTTTAATAGAGAGTAACGAAATGAATTTCGATTTAATCGATAAATTGTTTCTTACCCCTGAAGTATATAATATTGTGTCTGTATCTAAATATTTTATTATATTGTTAACTATTTCTTCTTTAGTGAACTTATTGGGATTGTCTAAAACTGTATAGCATAATCCTGTCTGATTAAATAAATAATTATAAATAATTGAGATTTTAATTTGATTTGAATTTTTTCATAGATATTCAATACGAACCAAATGCATTGAGCTGGGTACTATATTAGTTTTTTGTCTGTCCCACTCGGCAGCCACTGCTAAAGCCAAAGGTTCACTTTCTACATAAAATAATTTACCCTTGGGGGTTTTTAATTTTCTTTGATCAAGTGTTACCTCATATTTTCCTTCATTAAATAAAATATTTGTCTTATTGTAAAATCTTTTTCTCGTAACTAAAATTAATAAATAAAAAACGATTTGGGTAAGTATTATTTCCTTTTATTTATATATTTAATTACTAATTTGTTAAAATTACTAAAAAACAAAAATATTATTAATATCGTTATCTAAGTTAGGTTATTATGCAATATAAAAAAAATTTTAGGACTTCATTTTTAAAAAAAAAAAATAATAATAATTTAAAACGTGTTTTATCTTTTTATTTTTATTTAACAAAAAAAAAAAAAAAAAACAAATTTCGTAATTAATATTTTAAAATGTGTTTAAACCAAGGCAAAAATAATAAATTTTACGGGTTGTCGCAAGGCTATGCGTAAATTTCAAAAAAAAAAAAAAAAAGAAAAAGAAAAATGATTACCATAATGTCTGAGTAGGATTTTAGAATTTGTTTTACGTATATTTTCTAAAAATTTAAATTTAACAGGTGAGTAAATATTATTAAATGATAATCTTAACATTATTATTGTTATTATTAAAGTAAATTTTTGTTTACAATAAGAATACAGGGTTGCCGAACTATTTAAAAAAGTTCGAAGAACTTCCGGTTTAACTCTACGCCAATATATATGGGATTTCAACGTTGCTAATTTTCACTTTAAACTTGTAATGGTACTCCGAGGTACTTGATTTTAGGTATTAAATTTTTTTTTGTCAAGGTACAAAAAACGTTATGGTTAGGAAACACAACTCTCAGGATCACGTGTTTTTATGTATTGTTAGCGACCTTGACAAAGAAAACAAAACTTATTTGTGAGTATTTGTTATTGAGGTTTTTTTTTTTATCATCGTACTTATTATTATTATTGTACTATTGCTCGTAATAAAAATTTTTATTTTTTTATTTTTATTAATAATCGAAGTGAAATTTAATTTTTACGTATTTTTTTAGGAAATAATAAATTGTTAAGTTTTATTTAAATAGAAAATTATTTCGGCAAATGTTTATTATTTTTATATTAGTTTGAGACAATGGCGAATTTTAATAAGGTGGAAGAAATACCTACTTGGAATGGCTTGACTACTCCGAAAATACATGACAGAATGAAAGCTTTATTTCAATCTAGTAAATGGCACGATTGTTCTTTTAAATTATGGAAATCGGATGGAACCGGTGAGGAATTAATTTTTGCACATACAATTATTTTAGCGTCAAGTAGTCCAGTTTTCGAAGCTCTTTGTTTTGGTCCACTCGCCGAAAAAAATACAATTGAAATACCCGACGTCGATCCAGTGGCTTTTCGAACCATGTTGTGCTTTATTTACACTGATGGTATAGATTTTGATTCTGTAGAGCTAGCTTGTAACGTATTATACGCTTCAAAAAAATATTTAATTTACGCATTAATTCATTTAGCCATAACATATATATCTTGCCAGATAAACGAAAGCAATTGCCTACAGATATATGAATTTGCTAAATTTATCAAAGAAGAAAAACTTATTGTCGAATCGTGGAAATATTTATGCTCTCATTTAGATGATGTTTTGGATTATTTTTCAAGTGAATCTCTTTCTTTAGATCTTTTAAAAAATTTAGTCAATGAAGAAGCTTTAAACGGTGGGGAATTTATTATTTATAAGTTATGTTTAATGTGGGCAGAGTTTGAATGTGAAAATAATAGTTTAGATAAAACGGGTGAAAATTTAAGAGATGTTTTAATAAAAGCAGATTTGTTAAACAAAATTAGATTTTTAACATTTTCATCTGAAGAATTCAAAGAAGGACCATTAAAAAGTGGAATATTAAACAGTGAAGAAATACAATATATATCGAATGCGATTAATTTTTGTGTAAATGTTAACGAGAACAGTCATAATAGTAGTACGATTAACAAATTTACCCTAAAATCAGATCCCGAATCGAATTCATCTAAAGTGCCTTGTTTAAGTATAGAAAATTCATCAATAAATACATCATCTCCTTCGAATATAAATACCATTGTGGAAGGGAGGAAAAAAATTCAATTGAAAAAAGTTTATTGTCATAGATTTATTGAAAAAGAAGCTAGATCTAATTTAATACCGAAGGACAAGCTAAAAATACATACATACATCACTGCCAATAAATCGGTGAGACTCACTGCGCTCTTTGTAAATGCTAAAATATTGCCATTTACACAACTTAATGCAGGACTTGCTCACTTTTGTCCTTTCATTGAAAGGAATTACACTGAAAAGTTATTTATAAGTATCTGTGATAGTTCGGACAAGACTTTATTTGGTACATTATTTTTGGAAAAAGTAGGTTATGGAACAATATTTAAAATCCCACTTCAAACTCCTGTGATATTGGAAAGATCGAAAGAATACAAAATACAAATTGAATTAATCGATTCATCTGAAAATTATTTATTCGGTGTTAGAAATTCAATATCGAAAATTCCATCTGGTTTGTGTGTTACATTTAAAGAAATGGCCAACATAGGAGACTATGGAAATTTTATTGAAGCTAACGATTTAAGCATAATATCCGGACTTGAATTGTGCTTATAATAAATAACTTACAATCGCTCACAATTATTGTAAAAAAAAAAATTTTTAATTTAATTTGTTTTCTTGTTTTTTTTTTTTTTTTGTTTTTATTTTGAATCAAAATAAAAAATTCTTGTTTCTCTGTTATTTTTTTTTTTTTAATGAGATACGTACATATTTTTGTTAAATGTTATTAAATTTTAGTGCGATAAAAATTTAAAATTAGAAAAGAAAAATAATTCGATTGAATTCATAATTATTAAAAACAATAAATAAATGAATACTATTTAATGATAATGACAACATAATTAATAAGTCAAATAATTAATTTTTATAAAAGATAATTAATATTTTAATTTTTTTTTTGTTCACGTCACGTGATATTATAAAGTATGATAAGTTATTAAATCAATTTTTATATTTTTAAATAAAAAAAAAAAAATTATTTGATTTTATTTATACATAATTATGTATTTTAGTCGATTTCTCTAAACTCTCTCTCTAATAAATAATTTTAAAAATTTGTCAAAAAGAAAATAAAATCAATAATTAATAATTGATAATGATTGATATTTTTAAAAAAAATTTATGTAATTTATTATTTTTCAAGGTTTTAAATAATAATAATAATAATAAAGAATTTTATTATGTTTTTATTTATTTTATTTATTTATTTATTTATTGTTTGTCTAAGAAAATGTTTGAAGAAAATTTATGTGGAAATATATATTTTTTATAAAAAAAATTATTTATCAATGTGTAAAATTAATTGTCGATGATAAGGTAATTAATTGTTTAATTTTTTTTTTTTTTTAATTTTTTTGTAATGATTTTTTGTACTTTTTTTATTTTTTTTTTTTTATTTCAGACATTGAGGATCGATAATAATTACAAATCATATTAATAAAATAGATATAATTAAATTAATAGATTACAATAGAAAATAAAGCTAATTACAACTAAATAAGATAAAAAGGATATGATTATATGTGTGCGACATATTTGATAAAGAGAGAGAGGGAGAGAGATAGATAGAGGGATGACGATTTAATAAATTTACAATTAAAGGCGGATTCCTGGGTTTCGGCTACGAACAAAGTTCAAAAGTTCATCGCTGTCTTCGCAGACAAATGGTTTCACGTGGTGACAAGCAACATCGTGCCATTTGATGCCATCATTGTAGAAGTTGTTGAGGATGGAAAGGCAGGATTCGTCGTTTCCCTGTAAAGACAAACGGTATAAAAAAATTACCACAAATTTTTTATTAAAAATTCATTTTTTTTTTTTTTTTCTCACTTACTTGTGCGGCTTCTCTGTTATCAGGTTGGGCTTGACCGTAACCACCGGTGGAACTCCAGTCTCCAGTATTACGTTGGGTCGTTGGTCCAATTTTAGCTCCAGAACCAGACCAGAACCATCCGTTTATGTTTGGCGGTTGAAGATCTGGACGATCGCATCCGTTAAAATTGCATTTTCTTCCGGAAGTCCAAATGTATCTCACTCCACCTGTGAAGAAGTTATCAACGAAACATATTTTAAGGTACTTTTTTAAAAAAAAAAAAAAAAACTCATTTGACAAATGACGTACCTCTGGCAATTCTCTGTTTGACAAATTCGTTTTCTTGAGGAGTTTCTAAAGAGACAGCATCCATACAATGACGCCTGCAAATGTTTCTTGCATCAAGCCAATCTACTTCTAAATTTCTAGTTGGTCCGTGTTCCCAACTGAAAAAGTATGCATGTGCAACTCCTCTGGCGTCTCTATAAGTCGAATGCCTGACTCCTAAGAAAAAAAAAAAAAATTCCATGAAATTTCTCCCTCTCTCTCTCTCTCTCTCTTTCCAATTTTAATTTCTTAAAGTTTAATTTTTAATTTTTAATTTTTTTTTTTCTTAACATTTAAATAACGGAGAGTCCTACATTAAAAGTGACCACCAAATGAGTCAAGACCACGGTCAAGTTCAAGTAAATCTTGGTATCATTGATAATAATTCACCACCATATTGGGCGTACCTGATTTCGGTCAAAACAAAAATTCGCAGACTGCACGACGTTTACCTTTTTTTTTTAAATTACTATGGAGGTTTTGTAATGGTAAGTAATAGTAACAACAAATATTTTATTGCAAGTTTTTTAATTTTTTTTTTTTTAAATTATTCTTCACCACGTTTGTGCACTTTGCCATCATCTTTTTTTTTTTTTTAAAGTGAAAGTTTTTTTTCTACGCCATTGTATTCGAGTTTAAATGTCACGTGATAATATTAATAAAATGATTTCTCTTTTATAAAAAAAAAAAATTATTAAAAAAAAATTTGGCTTGCATATCGCTTAACACAAGAGGAAATGATGATTTTTACGTTACGTTATTTATTAACTTTCGTTTCCTTAAAAAAAAATTGGGGGGAGGGGAAGGGGGGCACGTTCGAAAGAAATTAAAAATTACTGGGTGGTAATAATAAAATTTAAATAATAATAATAAGTAATAGAACTTACTGTTTGCGCAACTTCTCGGATCTGGAAGTGCCAGTCTTCTTTGTGCAACAACCATGGTTGCTCCAAATATAAGGAGAGCTATTCTTCTTAACATGTTGGTTGTTTCTGAAACAAACAATAATATTACAAACAATCTTTGTATAATAATTCGACAAAAACTTTTCTTTTTTTCTAAACCTTATTTTATGCATTTATTTATTTATTTATTTTTGAATAGGAATTATTTAATAAATAATAAATAAACAATTTTTTTTTTTAATATTTTTTTTTATCATTTTGATGAGATTATATAATTTTAATATTAATTTAATTTAAGTTTAACGTACATAAGTTTTTTTCATAAAATTAATAACAATTTCATAACATTAAAATAATTTATTTATTTATTTATTTACTATTGATTTTTTTTTTAAATTTTGTAAATTTTTTAAATTTTAAATTACAAAAAAAAAACGCCATATTTAAAAAAAATTTTCTTTTTTTTTTTTTTTTTACAACCAAAACATTTTCAAAAACACACATAAAAAAAAAATTAATTTTTATAAATTTTATGTAATTCATAATTAAATGAATGAATGAATGAATGAATGAATGATTGATTGATTAAGGACGTGACTGACGTAATCTCCTTAACATTAATTTTAATAAATAAATAAATTAATTTTTTACAACAACATAAATAATAATTTTTTTTTTTTTTTATTAATTAATTACACATTAAATAAATATTGTAATAATGATAATAATAATACTAATTTTCATTTCAAAAAAAAAAAAAAAAAACTATTAATAATAATAATATTATTAACGAATAACGAAAATAAGAAAAATTTAAAAAATTTTTTATATGTAAAAAAAAAAAAAAAAATTCATTATTAAACAATTTTTTTAAATAAACAATTCATTTATTAAAATATAATTATTAAAAAAAAATATATTAATAATTAGTTAACTTATTTTATTGCCATAATTTAAAATTTATTTATTTATTTATTTATTTAATAATATAATACTAACTACGATAAGATTAAATTAATAAATTTAAATTTATTATTTTATTTATAAATTTGATTGTTATTAAATTTGGATTGTTTGTCAAATTAAGTTAACAATATTTAAATAATTGTTAAAAAATTTTTTATGTTTATTGTTTTGTTTTCTATTCAAATATTTTTTTATATTAGAATAAGAATTTTTGTTAACGGTTTTTTTTTTACATTGTTTTTTCGTCGTATTATTATTATCAATATCGTTCAATATGTTTGTGGTCAATGTTAAAGTGCGATTTGGAATCGAATGAAATTTCACGTTACGTTCAATGTAATATATCAAATCGACTTGAGATGAATTTTTTTTTTTCCATTTTTTATTGTAATACGTGTAAAATAATATTATTATGATTGCTACGATGAAGATGGCGAGGGTTCCCGCACTCGCTCCCGATGCGCTTATAACCAAATATCTGGAAAAACACCCGTAGCGTGTGTATTTTTCGCCACAGGTCAACCCGCAATACCCTTCGGTACAGTGACATGAAAAATCAGTTGCGTTTTCAAAAACTGTAAAACAAGTTCCTCCGTTTAAGCACAACCATTCGGCCGGTCCCGGAGGACAGGGAAATGTTTCTGGCGGTCTCGGCTCGCCAGAATTTGACATTATAACGAGAGACGATGAAGAAGAAGAAGAAGAAGAAGGTAAAGAAGAAGTAAAACAACCATTTCGGGTGTATTTGTCGGCGCATGTCGCCCCGCAATATCCCTCGGCGCATTTGCAGAAATAATCAGTCGAATTTTCAAAAAGAGTAAAACATGTGCCGCCGTTCAAGCACAAACGTTCCGCCGGACCTTGTGGACACGTATATGTTAAATATGTTATGTTGGGTCTGGCCACGTGTGGAGGCCTTGTTTTCGATGAGCTCCGACTCGAACATGATTCGGCAATCTCAATAATAATAGACAGAATCAGAAGAATTTTTGACGTGTAGTAAATAATCAGTGTCATATTATAATGGTACAAGAATTCGGATGATGATAATAATAATAATAATATTTTAATACATTCCGAACTTGAATAAAATTTAACTCGGTTCTGGTAATTGTACAGCCAATAGGCAAATACCGTCAAATGAAAATTTAGACTCCATGGCAGCATTTTTAACCATTGAAATAATTTTTTTTTTATTCCTTTTTTTCCTTTTTCTTAACAGAAATCAAATAATAATAATAATAATAATAAACTCGAAACAATTGAAAACGAATTAATTTTTTTTTCACTAATTCACACACATTTACAAAAAAAAAAAAAAAATAACGAACTTTTTTCGGTTTTCTTTAAATAATAAAATTTATTATTATTATCATTAATAACGAATTAATTAACATAAGTGAAAATAAATAACAAAAAAAAACTAGATTTTATTATTTTCAATTCGTTTTTCCAAATATTAACTAAATAAACATTTGAACGCAACAATATAATCGCAAGTTTTAGCAAGTTTCAAAATGGCCAGACCTTTACCCCGTTTAAGTGTATTAATCTATTCCCTTAATTAAATTTAACCACCGCCTTCTAAAAATTTTGATGAGTCATAGCAGCAGAAAACATTTTTTTTTTTTTTTTTTTTTCAAACGTTTACGTTTTTCGAACGCGTTTAAAATTTGCAAAGTGTTTTTTTTTTTTTTTTTTAAAAGTATTTTATAGTTTGGGTGAAATTAATTAACGGGAGAATAAAAATAAAAAGTAAAATTAAAAGAAAAAACCGTTAACGATTCAAAAATTGAAATGTAAAACATTTTTTTTTTTTGTTTATCTTTTCGTTTTAAACATGAAATCATTTTATCATGTAATTAAAATCTTAATTGTTGTATTCAAGAGATGTGAAAGATAAAAATTTCTTTTGTTGTAAAAACTTTTAAAAATATGCAAGGTAAATAATAATTTAGATAAATAAAATCATTGCATAAGTTTAAAAAGAAATTTTACATTATTGTGAAAGAATTTAATGGCCGTTTTATATTTTAATAATTATTACACATGTACCTTAGTATAAAAATTAATTTTTAGGTATAATTGAGATTTTAACTGTTGTAACTTTTGTTACAACAGTTTTTAATATAATTTATGATAAAATATATATAGGAATGTATACAGAAAGAGAAAAAGAGAGAAAACTTGACACAATTACAGTGACTTAATTTTAAACAATTTAAATGTAATGTTATTTTACAATTAACTTTAATTATGTTAAAAATTCAACCTTTTTCTTTTCTTTTTATACTTTCTCTACAAAATATATTTTCATGTTTTTTTAAGTTTAAAAACAACTTAACTTTTTCTTATTTCAACTTAATAATAATAATAATAATAAATGTTTAAATTTTTTTTTCCTTTATAATGCCATTAAGTAAAATTTATATTAATAAATTTAGTCTCTCTAAATCAAAACTTTAAAAAAAAAAAAAAAGAAACTTAAAAATTTATTTTTTTTTTTCTCCACCTTTCTCTTAAATTTTTCCCTTTCAAAAAATTTACAATCATCATTAAAAATAAATATTATGTAAGTTTATTTTTTTAAACTTAAAATTAACTTTCTTAAATGAATTTCTACTTTAAAAAACTTAAACTATAATTTTTAACAGGAATATGAATGAGTAACAGAAATTTTTTTAATAAATTTTTTTTTTTTTTAATGGTTTTTTGTATTAATTATTCAATTTTTGTATTTCAGTCACGTTAAAGTTTTTTTCTTCTTCTTCTTTTTAAGGTACAAAAATCAAGTATTGGAAAAAGATTATTAGGTCATTAGAAAATGATGTCAGTCATGTAGTCAACCGACTTATAACGTTTCTACATCTATTAAATTCTTTTGGAAAAGTTTTTAAACATGGAGGAACATAAAAATTTATAATAATCACTGAATCAAAAAGGTAAGAATTAAATAAAATTTTTTATAAGCTGGTGGGGGGGGTGTGCATGTAATTTGAAAAACAAACCTCTTATTATCTTATTATTATGGTTTTTAAAAAAATTATTAACATAACTATTTGTTTGTTTCAAAATCATTATAAATAACTATTACTTGATTGTTGAGTTGAATTACAACAAAAAAAATAATAGCAGAAGACAAAAAAAAAATTATTTTTACTAATTTAATATTATTCTTGAAATTGTAGAGTAAATAAACGTGAATTTCCGGTTTTGCAAAAGGTTTAAAAAAAAAAAAAAAAATTTAATTAAAATATTTTTTAAGTGTGCAAACAAGTTTCGTACAAACACGCACATATAAACAGTACATTAACGAGAACATTAAAAATATTTTAAAATTATAATAATTACTCGTTGAATCCGCAAATATCTCAAATTAATAAGATGATAAGAATGATTTTAATATTAATTTATTTGAGTTGTTGTTGTTGTTCTTTTTCTTTAGTATATACAAATTTAAAGAGAGAGAGAGAGAGGAAAAAATGCAAATTCACTTTAGGTCAAATATTTATTAACAAAGGTTAATTACTTTACTCGATAACTTATCGTTTAATTTTAAAATTGTCACTTTAAGGAAAAATTATCCTTTTAAAAAAAAAAAAAAGAAAGTTATGAGCGATTTGTTTGTTTGTTTGTTTGTTTGCCCCCCCCCCCCCTCCTTCTGTTGATTCTTATTACAAATGCTCCTCGGTAAGAAAGTTTTCTTTTTACATAGAATATGTTTATTTAATATTTCGAAATTGTATAGAAATTACGTATTGAAATTATTATTAAAAAAGGTTGGTTATTTATTACACATGAAAAATTTGGTTATGACGTCAACAGGTGAAATTATATATTAATGCACCTATTTTGTTTCCTATTTAAAATTCCAAAACGCGCCTACATTCTTTCATTATTATTATTATTATTATTACTACTACTAATACTACTACTTAGATAAGTAGAAGGAAAAATTTTAAAAACAAAACAAAGCAAACGCAAGTGAAAGCTAACATACGCATTTATTTATTTTGTTTTTCATTCATTCATTCATTCATACATTTTGTGTGTGCGTGTGCGTGTGCATGTTGATTTAAGTTAATTTCTGTTTGTATAAACGCCCATATAAGAAATTTTTTTTTTTTTTTTTTTTTATATTTTCGCGTTTTTAAGGTGTTAACAACAATTATTTACCATTTTTAAATTTGATAGTTTATTTTTTAATGGCAAAAAAAAAAAAAAAAAAAAAAAAATTACTTTTTTTAAATGACGGGCGTATTCGCGACAATCATTATTATGATTATAAAAATTTACTCATTTTTGCGATTATAAAGAACAATAATAATAATTCGATGAGGTGAATCGTCAATAGTTTTTTTTTTTTTTTTTTTTTTTTTTCAAACAAATTTTTTATGCGTCTAATTCTTAAGAGGAACTTCGAAACGAATATCTATGTAGTCGATTAATTAATTAGTTATTAATTACCCGAGGTTGATTTTTATTCAAATTAATATAAAATCACGTGTATCGTCCGTCTGTCGTTTTTCTATAATTAATACAACGTATCCAAATGATTTTTTAAATGAGGTCATTAACCTGTCTACTTGTTTTTCATTAGAATAATTCATGTCAAAACATTATCACATATTAAATCGAACTAGTTATAAGAAAATAAATTCGAGTTTTTTTTTTTTTTTTTTTTCCTTTCGTTCGTTCGTCTGCTTCAAAATTGATTTTTTTATCAAAAAAAAAAATGGATGAGGGGGGCTTCTGCGTTTTGATATAAACAAAAAAAAAAAATAAACGTAGGGAATTTTAGTAAATTAAAAGATGGCCTTAAACCGAAAAAAAAAAAGAAAAAAATTTATAAATAAATAGATTAATCAATGAATATAAATCTCAAATGTTAAGGCGGCGGGGAGAGTGGGGGGGGGAATCGCGAACGAATAAATAAATAAAACGATTTTATTTCTTCTATGAAATTATGTATTCTCCTCCCAATCGTAGTTGTTTGCCTAAAAAACTCTCCTTATACTCCTTAAACAGGATAAAAAAAAAAAAAATTTTTTTATGAGGAGCCAAGGATAAATAATAATATTTTTAGAATTCTCTCTCTCTCTCTCTCTCTGACATATAAAAATTTTGCCTTTTCGTCAAATACGGTAAATTTCGAAAAAAAATTCAAATATTAAAAATTTATATATAAAATGAATTATATTTTTTTTAGTTTAAAAACGACTGAATTTAAATCGTAAAAAAAAAAAAAAAAAAAATTTTTTCTTCTTATTTAAGTCCCCCGTCGTGGAAAATAATTTTGTTGGAATATTTACAACAATTCGTCCATTTTTTTTTTTTTTTAAATTAAAAAATTAAAAATTTTACATAATAAAAATATTTAAATTTTTCAAAAAAAAAAAAAAAAAAAATTATTTTACAATCAAGT